CGCCCCCTCCGCCCCCCCCCGCCCCCCCTTGCATTTTTCTCGTATTGTTCTTGCATTTTTCTTGTGTTTTTCTTGTATTTTTTCTTGTATTTTTCTTGCATTTTTTTTGTATTTGTCTTGCATGTTTTTTGTATTTCACCGTTGTTCCTGAATCGCTACTTGTATTTTCTCTTGAATTCATTCTTGTATTTTTCTTGTGTTTTTTTCATTCTGCTGGGGGGTCAATAATTCCGAGACGCGCTCCTCACAATTCTAGAGAAAGGAAGGCCCTTTTTTGGTTTAGGATTTAGGGTTTAGGGTTTAAGAGACCGAAATCCTCATCCCCAGCCACGGCGGGCTTGCACTTCATGCGGCCGGGTTCCTCGAAGGAGCTGAAACGTTTGCTCCAGATCGGCTCATCGACCAAGAAGCACCCGCATCTAGGCATCACGAACGTGCCACCTACTACCCTTGGGAACCAAAGGAACCCTAAAATTGGGGCCAGATACCCTATTGCTACTATAATATTAGGGTAGATGAACCATAAACCCGTTTAGGGTTCATGTGGTCCTCAAGGTACTTCTGGTTCACAAGAATTCTGAACATTTTCGTCCTGTTCGCCTCAACCACGGTGACTGGACATGTTCAACGCCGTTGGTGCTTCGGTGTTTCCTGTGGCCCTATAGCCCCCAACCCTGTACAGAAACAAGCAACAAGCAAGCTTCATGCGAGTGCTTTCCAAGGTCGGAGGAAGGCGAACACAATGTGACAAGATTCCTCCGAGCCCTCCGACAGATACAGAGGTTCAAGGTGTCGGAAGTCGCAAGTCTGACTAAGACCTAGAAGCGGCCCTTCGTCTTATTCCCCTAGATAGCCGGATAGCCTCCATGTGTATATACATATATATATATATATACCCTAGATCCCTTTTTACCTAAATAGGGACCCTTAGTCCTATTCCCCTAGATAGCCTACACATATATATATATGTATATGTGTATATATGGGTTTGTTCATCATGGGGGAGCGGGCGACAGGTGTTGGGATCAAGGTATGTTTCGTGGTATGTATGTTTCGGGGTATGTTACGAGCTACTTTACCTGCAATTTCGGGGGTATGCTTCGGGGGGTGCGTTTCGGGGTCTGTTTCGGGGAATGTTTCGCGTCCGCGCAAACCCGTGTGCCCTTCCTAAAACTGAGCCATTCGACAATCCCTATGCACCTAGGTGCATGCTACCCCTACGGTGCCCGAAACCCTAAACCCTAAACCCCAATAAGGGTCTGCCTCCTTTAGCCACCTGATGAGCCCAGAGGCATAAGGAGGTTTCCCATATCCACAGCCAAGCCAGGGAGGTCAACGCCCATCTCGGCGAAGCCTTCCTTCCTTGGGGGCCAAACGAACCCCTAAAGGGGGTTTATCATATTAACTGAATAGGAATTAAATTAGTATAGGGCATAACCCCAAAAGGGTGGCTCATATTACCAAAAGGAATTCTGGTAGTAGGGCATAACCCTAAAAGATCCTAAAAGGGTTTATGGCTCATATGCTGGGATGTTCCCCCTTTTTCTAACAGTCCTTCATAAGGGCTTCTGACAGGGGTACTAGATAATCCCTCATGAGGACTGCTAGCTCATATACCCCAACCGTAGTACAAGGGATACGACCCCAATGCTTAGGGTTCACTTCGTCCCCAAGCTTCCTGGCGGTTCAGGGAGTTCAGGGCTTGGGCTTTCGGTTGAGGAACTCCAGAAACACTTGGACGCCGCTGAAAACAAAAAACACGAACTTTGAAGCAAACCTGCGCGCCTGTGTGCGTGCGTGCCTGCGTGCGTGCGTGCCTGCGTGCCTGCGTGCGTGCGTCCCTGCGTCCCTGCTTCCCTGCGTGCGTGCGTGCGTGCGTGCGTGCGTGCGTGCGTGCGTGCGTGCGTGCGTGCGTGCGGGTCGTTTATTGCAAGCCTGGCATCTTGTGGTAGTTGACGATGGCCCAGCCTAGGCCCTCGGCCTCAGGTCCGGTTTCGGGGTTAGGTCTTAAAGCGGCTGCAGGGTTTGAAAAGTTTCCTTCGAGGCTGCCAAAACCAAGAGCTTCAGTTGCTACACGGCTAGGTGCCGCAACGGGGACTACGACTACCTGACTACCTTCCTCCGACGGAGTGGACTTAAATGTGCCATTGCGCTGTCTGCGAGAAGGAGCTAATAGAGACCCCCAAATAAATGGGATTCCCTTACTGTAAGGACCCCAACAAGGTACCCAAATTTCGGAAACCCCATATGACTGACAGGCATCACTGCATCATGCCGGCCGAGATCACTTGGCGTTGGCCCAGTGGGATTACGATACAAAGCCAGGCAGGCGCCAGCAAGCTATGCCATGGCATTAAGCCACTATAGCACAGCCAAGGCAAAAGAGATGGAGCTCACACAAGTTGTGCAACCCACACAGTTGCACTGAGCTTGTTCCAGCTACAGAGGACTTGCTCATTTACTGTGCATACATGGGCTTCGGTCATCTTCAAGTGTTCCAAAACGACTAAATGTGTCGGCCTTTGCTGACATAGTTGCGGTGGGCGAGCCTTAAGACAGACCTCACACTTGAAGCCTGGATGCTGGGCTGAAGAGACTGCGCTCTATGTTGGGATCATTCCCAGTATTCATCCAGTGGCCCCTTGACAAGGGGTCCAGGAAAGCATGAGGAGAGTTTCTGAATCAAGCCTCGTGGCATTCTTCGTGAAGACTGGACGAAGGCCATCCTGCATCCAAGGCCCTGAACTATGCCCAGTTGGAGATGTCAAGGTGGTGCCATTCACTTCAGCAGACGAGAAGTCAGCAAGGACACTTTTCATAATTGGAGGCTCGAAACATGCCGAGTGTCTACGTATGTATTTCGGCTACCTGTGTCGGGGGGTGTACAGCATGACCCTTGCGGCAGCGCCACATGTGGACGCGAGTCGCCAAGGCTAAGATAGAAAAAGCCAGAAAGCTTGCTAAGGGACGAAGGAGCACATGAGGTTTTGAGTCTTCTTTCACTGGGCCTACGGAAAGGCTGGCGTAGGGAAACGGCGAAAACGACATCGTCGAGTGTATCACCTAGTAGCCAATATGCAGGGCACCCAATGGCCCACAAGACAGCATCATTCTGGCCCAAGCTCCTTGACCATCTTGCCTAAGGAATCTGTCATCGCAATGGATATGCCGACATCTATCAGCGTCACCTGAATCTGTCGGGCTTGCAGATGTCAGGGCATTGGCCGCAATAGGTCTAGCAAATCAAAACGTCAAGAAACACTCACATGTTTTTTGATCACAGGGACAACAAGCCCATTGGTTTGTTTAAAGGCCGTTCGTTCTACAAGGGGCTACGCAGCCATGCGTGTGCTGTTTAGCGGCCGTTGGTGCTCCGTCCGGCTCTGTCTTGATGAAGAGGTTGCCTAGGCTTTGGGACCATGTACCTTTCGAGTGTATCCGTGGGCCTTAACCGGGTTACCATATAGCAGCTTCAGGGCCCAAGTTTCTACCATACCAGGATGGGCTATTCGGCCTTAAAATCCCTATAATGAACCCTATAAAGGGCCTTTTAAGGGATTATAGGGGTATAATAGCCCATCCTGGTATAGGTACATGGACCCTTGGGCTTTTTCTGAGGGGGCATTAGGGTTTAGGGTTTAGGGTTTAGGAGCTTACGGCTTGGGAGATTGGGAGGGGAGGGTTTGTGATAAAGCTCACTGACTTCTACACCTGTAACCTTGTTCACGTGCAGCTCTGGGAGGGCCGTGTAACCGTACGCCTGAACGTCGAACCCCGAGACAAAGAATCCTCTGCATCTCCGAAAGCTTTGTCCCTGGCCCGTGCAGACAAGCCGAAGGTCCTGGATGCAGATCACCATGCATGAAGTTGTGCACCAAGCCTGGGGCATCTTCGAGATATTTCACACTCTTGCGGGGGGGCTCTTCGTCGGTTTTTTTGCCAGGCAACATGGCCAACACCAAAATCCCTCGTTCGAGGTCTAAGACCATAAGCCCCCGACTGCCAAGACCCGTCTGGGAGCTTCGGGTTCGGCTTTTTTCGTGGCCTTCGCGGCATTTTTCAGGGCTGCAACTCCTTCCTTAGGGACCAAATGAAACCCCAAAGTGCAGGGTATACCCTAAACCCTAAACCCTAAACCCTAAACCCTAAACCCTAAACCCTAAACCCTAAACCCTAAACCCTAAACTATACAGTATGACCCCCCAACTTTTGTAGGCATTCTCGGCGAGCGGCCCATCCTGGCCATCATGTCCTGAGCATTTCAAAGTGCCGGCTCTTTTGACTTCCTAAACCCTAAACCCTAAACCCTAAACCCTAAACCCTAAACTTTTGAGTATGTGGGCTCTCGCTCGGGCGCGAGGCTTCTAGCAGGGGTTTTGATGCTCCTGGCAGGCAAGGCAGTCTTGCTTTGGGGCTCTGTCAGCTAAGACACCTATCAAGGATCTGGCGTGGTGCCCAGGCTACAAGATGGAGGGAGGGGTGCTCTGGGAGGAAGTGTTGGAACTTGCTGGGCAAAATGTTTAAGTTGATAGGTACTGCTCTCACCAAATTCTTTTCCGTGGTACAAGTCTCCCCGCACGTAACTGACTTGAGCCCGAGGGATTGAGTTTTCCGGCTTTTGACAAAGAGGCGTCATCGGTGGTCCTCACGCCAGTCTTTCATTCTTTGATTGAATTGGCCACAACGAGGATTCAGATTTTCATCAAGAAGCACTCAGCAAGACATGCTATTCACAGGCAGCAGCACGCACCTGGACTCCAGACCAAAAGCAGCCATCTTGGTGTTGGTTGTGGTGAGCAGTGACCCAAAGCTTGAAAGTGCAGCACTACAGCTCGCTTCATGCATCTGTGCATCGCTTCGTAGCACCAGCTGAGCTTTATTCTAGGCAACACCCGGCTATTGCAATTTCAGCGTCCACCAGCAGCGTGTGCACGTTGTCTCGCAGATCGTGGTCTGTCCTTGCCCCCCGTGGCCAAAGCCCTCAAACTATGATGCTGCTGAGGGGAGAACATGAAATGCTTGAAGACGTGTCAGTTGAAGACGTGTCAGCCAGCCCTACACCGTGACACTGTCGACTTTGATCTAAGGCATCCAAGCTTCACATTCTTCACAAAATTCGACAGAGACAGGCCTGCAATGTGCCGGCACCATAAAGAAGGCTGTGCTCAAAAAAAGCAAACCTGATCATGGAAAGCTTTGGGATTCCAAGCTCAGGCGCTGGGCTGTTCCAGCTTTGAGGTTTGCCGATCATGGACTTCAAGCGGGCTTGGACCATCATAAAGGGGGTCAAGTCATCAGCTTTAGTCTCACAACTAACACTCGCACTGTGGAGGAGGTATAGACCTTAGCAGCTTAGCATGTGCCAGCAATGCTGTGCGGAGGATGTATCCTTGGCATTTCGGGTTCGGAGTTGTGTCGGCGCCTTCAGCTAGGCCCATGACGAGCACACTCTCCGTGCTTGCATACACCGGAGGCACCAGAACATGTCCTCAGATGCACGAGGCTCTGCGAAAGCACCCTCGAATAGTGATGCACTCCCGACGTGCATTTATCGCACCTCTGTGTGTTTTATAGAATCTCCGGAATTAGGTTTTGGCCGCGGTCTCATCCCAAACCCTTTTCTGCCACTTGACTGAAGGGACCCTAAACCCTAAACCCTAAACCCTAAACTCAGGCGTCTGAGATCCGGGCTGTCACTCTCAAAGTTCCGCGCGAACCTCTGCATGTGTTGGGCCTCGAATGACAGGTTGACCTGCCCAGGTGCTGCGAAGGCCTTCCCCCACGCACTGGGTAGTTTGCTTATAAATTCGGGTCCCTTTTTTTGGTTGTTTGTTGCTTTTTTGGTTTAGGGCTTAGGGTTTCTGCTGCATGATCTGAGGGCGCACGCGATCCATGGGGTGTAGGGCTTAGGGCTTAGGGTTTAGGGTCCCTTTTTATCAGGCCAGTACTCTATGCAGAATTCTCACAAGCACATTCACGTCGGTCCTGCGCAAAGCTTGACAGCAATTAGCTGGAAGCCGCCTGCTGGGTCATGTAGTGGCCGAAATTGTCTACTGCCTCTTCCAATGCCATCCAGGTTAAGTCGGGCCACCACCCTGAGCACATTTTGGGGTTGATCCTTTTATTCTAGGGGCTTGATCACCAACCCAAGAGGAGTGTTGGCACGATTGACGATGCACCGGCAGGTCGTGAGTTGCCCTCAATTCTTCGCTTGGTGATGCAATGATAGACATGATAGTGACCGTATTCGTGCCACACCGAATAACTCTCAAACGCCGTCCACGCGGCATGTCACTGTGCGCGCAACTTTCTTGAGGAGGCGCAAGTCCACGTCGAGCCGCTCCTGACGGCAACGACTTAATCAGGACTGGACTCGGCCGGCTTGCACAGCGACCTTCGAACCCTTTGACAGAAATTCTGAAAGCGCAGATGCTGACAGCGCAAAGCTTCAAGATCGATATGCTAGCACGAGTAGCTGTGGGTTGGGGGACAGGGACACAGCCCTGCAGACCCTGGCACCTCGTTTATGAGAAAGCCCGTCTGACCAAAAAACGGAGGTCGCACTACGCGCGTTTCAAAAGGGCCAATGAAAATTCACCAAAGCAAGCAAGTGAAAATGTCCACAGCTTCAGAGGATCTGACAGGACCATGTGGCAAACCCTCAAGAAGGATTGCTTCGTGCGAAGGGAAATGACACCCATCCTTGGGGACCAAATGAACCCTAAAATGGGGGGTCATATACCCTACACTACCATAATTCCTACAAAGGTATATGAGCCATCTTCCCTTTTGGGGTTCCTTTGGTCCCCAAGGATTGACGAAACACAGCATACCGTCTCCGGGCCAGGTCCTCGATCCCCGCACGTCGGATCTTGACGGCTACAGGGGAACCGTTGTACCTTGGAGGACAGCGTCCGAAGCACCGTGCCGCAGGTCCAGCTGGGGTTTACACAATGTGAAGAAGTGAGCTCAACCTCTCAGAATCCTAAGGGCGCCCTTCTTACTTCTCCAATAACCAAAGGGGAAAACAGGCTAAACTTTAATATCCCTACTAAATAAGGAAACCCAAAAAGTTTAAAGTTCAACTAAAGGCGAAGTAAGCCTTGCGGGCGAAGGGTCTCGACCCTCACGCCTAGCACCCGCGCAGGCATGGTTCCAGACGTCTCTCAAGCCCACAAGCAGACAAATCACCAACCAGATGGACCGATGAGTCCCTGGGCTGAAGGGTTTAGGGTTTAGGGTTTAGGGTTTAGGCTTCAGGGTTTAAAGTTTAGGGTCCTAGGACGCTGCAACTGCAACTCCTCAACTGCTGAGCGTGGCGCCTGCCCTTGTACACCTGCGCGACGCAGCCCCCACCCATAAGATGATCCTGTGGGGCATTGAGGGAGTCCCACAGATTCAAAACCTCCGAAAGGAGGGTTTAGGGTTTAGGGTTTAGGGTTTGGGGTTTGGGGTTTGGGGTTTGGGGTTTGGGGTTTGGGGTTTAGGGTTTGTTGGGGTTTGGGGTTTAGGGTATATGGACCATGAACCCCAAAAGGGTTTATGGTCCTGTGCTTCAATGGGAATTATAGTAGTATAGGGGAAATGACCCCAATCTTAGGGTTCATGTCGTCCCCCAGGTTGAGGGAGTCCCGCTCAGCTAAAGCCTCCAAAAGGAGTTGTTTCTCAGAGCAGCGTCTGCCTTGTCCGTGCGTGACATGGGGGTTTCGGAAATGATTCTGATAGGGCTACCTTATTGGGGTCCTTATTATAAGGGAATCCCCTACTATTTTTGTGGGACTCTGTGGGAGGCCCCTTGTTTTCGTAAACCCCCACATCTCAAAAACTGAACATGAGCAGCAATTGTCCTGCATCTCAAGGTTGGGGATCATCTGCACAGCCCGCTCGAGGTCCCTCCGGGACCTCGGATGCTTCGGTGCAGAACCCTAAACCCTAAACCCTAAACCCTAAACTGCCTTGATGCTCAGGGAAGAGAAAGAGCGCATGAACGCTTGTCAAATAGCCAGCCGATGATGTTGAGGGACAGCTCATGGCACATTCGGCATCCCAAGTCGTTCTGTTAAGGGTTTAGGGTTTAGGGTTTAGGGTTTAGCATTGCAGCGAAAGGCACCCGACTCTTTAGCGGCGTGCCTGGACGATACTTGCAACATGGGGTTGGGCATGTCTTCCCACTGAAGGCGTCTGGGGTTAAGAAATCAAAATTCTGGTGCTCTTCTTCATGAACGTTCCCTCTCACCAGCTGCCCCAAGGCCCTAACGTGTCCCTACTCTACACCCAAGACTCAACGACGCCATCTCCAAGCGCCTTTGCCCCACTATGTCTGCACGAGGCACATGGAAGTCGGAACATTTTCATGCAGCATGCCCATGGCATCGCACAGCTCACCAGGAATGACGTCTCTTCGCGTGGAGGCCCACCTCAGTGACCAACTTGGGTGTCGTGGGCCCACCCTACTGTGAGCGCGATCACCCGCTGCACCTAGTAGAGGCGCCTGAATAGTTAGAATAGGGTTTTGGGGGGTTATCATCGTCTAATTCAAATAGGGACCCTAAGGGAATACGAGTAGCAATTGTTCCGACCCCAATATGATTTGCCGATGTATGTGTGTGTACGGTCAAACTCAATTTTGATTGACACTGGTTCGGCGCTGAAGGCCTAGGCAGACACATCTGCAGCTATGCCTGCAGGGCTTCTCATACCTTGTGGACGAAATGAAACCTAAAAATGAGGGTCAGATACCCTCTACTACTATAATTCCTATTCAGGTACATGAAATTGGGGGTCATATACCCTTCACTACTATAGTTCCTATTAAGGTATATGATCCTTTGGTCCCCGGGTACCTGTTGGAAGCTCCGAACCGCTGCAGGCCGCTCGATGACAGTAGACGCCAGCTTCGTCGTGGCACTTGAAGAATGCCCTCCCTGCCTACTATATGCTTAAGAAATATTCTCCATTATGAGGTTAGTATAGGGATTACAATCTTTTATTTTGTGGTCTTAAGCAAATAGCAGATGCTGACTCAACACACCAAACCCTCGTTCTTGGAGCTTCTAGGCCATGCAACTGGGCAAGCTTGATGAAGACTGGCCCAGATCGCTTGAAGGCGCCAACAACCTTAGAGGCCCAGTTTCAGGGGTCAGGGTGCTTGCCACCTTCCGGGCGTTCGGGTTTCAAGGATTAGGGTTCGGTGAAGCCTCTCCACCCAGGACTGGCAGGTGGCGATCACCCCGCGCTCAAATCTTTGCTTGCTTGGGGTTTGCACTCCTCCTATCGTCGCGCACAAAACCCCAAGCCAGTCCCATCATGTCCCCTCAACGCAAGCACTCCGATTCTCCCGAGGCAGGATTTGAAACATTCCAGAGAGGCCCCTGAACTCAAAACCTTGGACCCTGTTGCGTCTGGACCTCCCTTTGCAAAGCCCGCAACCCTACCTTGGGGCCCGAATGAACCCTAAAAGGGTTTACAGATCATATACCCTAATAGGAACTACAGTAGTAGAGGGTATATGACACCAATTTTAAGGTTCATTTCGTCCCCAAGGTAAGCCCCCAAAAGCCAAGAAGAGGCTAGGCTGCCCAGTAACCTAGGCTTAAACCGGGTGCCCTTTTTTGCCTAAAGGGGTTTATAAGGGAACCTAAGCCCCCCAAAAAGGGAATAAGGGTACTACTGGGCATCCGAGGAGGTGAAGGCCAGGGCACAGGTCCCGGACTTCTAAAGGCCAAGGCGGGGAGCGCCGGTAGCCAAGCGACAAACCTGACGTTGAGGTGGGTTTAGGGTTTAGGGTTTAGGGTTTAGGGTTTAGGGTCTAGGGTTTAGGGTTTAGGGTTTAAGGTTTAGGGTTTAGGGTTTAGGGTGGCACAGGACTGCGATGTTTGGATGTAAGGCCGAACTAAAGGAGCTTCTCGGCAGGAGGGGCTGTAGGATTCTCAAGGTTCAACACACACTTAGTGGGAAGCTCAGTGTCAAAACATGTATGGACTGTATGGATGCCCACGTACTGTAGAGGGTGAGGCGGTGAACATGTAGTAGGCGAAACAATGTCTTAATCTTTTATGGTGTCGAAGGGAACAAACGGAAAAGTGAACATGAATCCACTGTAGGGCTTTTTGGCGTTTAGTCTTTGTTGGGTAGGTTGTGTTGCAACGAATACCATGCGCTCCTCTCTGCAATGCTGCGAATGCTGCACATGCCCTCATGTTGAAAGCTTCAACAATGCCGACAAGCTATATGCTCCTCCATGCTCCAATGCTCTCAAGAACTTACTTCAGATGTGAAGCAACAGCAAGGACGTACCATGCACAGCTTGCTCTACAGGAGGTCTATCGCTTGCAGGCACAAGTCCAGGCGTCCCCCTGGATGCTGCACCCGAACCCACTGGCTTCTGTGTTAGCAGGGGACCCATAGATCACGCTCCTCCCCTTTGCATGCTGCAACTCTTGGTGTTCTCGTTCGACAATGCTGCTTGATGCACACACCGCATGTGCAGCGGTTGCCAACACCGCGCGCGCTCTTTTTCTCTCACACACACACACCACTGGTGACACCCACGAACATCCCCACCTGCGTACACGCGCGACCCGACATTGGCCCAATTTTTTGGCCAAGACACAGGTACAAACACCGTCTGTTCACTGGGGAGAGAAGAGTGATGAAAAACACCTGAGCACACTGGTTGGATGGGAGCTACGATTCATGCTCCAATCGTGCTAGACATCAACTCGACCCGCCTTAGGCCAGTCTTGTCCCCAAACCTGCCCAACAACTTAGGAACTCGTGACCCGTCAACAACAAGACCCCTGAGTCGTTCTTGTTGCCACGCGACCCAGACTCAGACCTTCCTACAACCTCGCAGACCTTCATCCTCCACCCAAACTGATTTTCAGATACCCCGCCCACCATAACGACCACCGCAGGACCAGAGGTCAAAACGACGATGGTTTTGCCGGGGCTTATGGTCTGTGACTCGGACCTTGGGGACGAAATGAACCTTAAAAGGGTTTATGGCTCATAGGCCTTAACCGGAATCATAAGTACAGGGTATATGGGACATTCCTGTGACAAGGCCGCTGGGCTTCAAGGGCAAAGCTTGGCGTTGACTGTGTGCCGGCGACCGCAAGACAAGACCAAGACTAATAATTTTGGGGACGACATGAACCCTAAAAGTGGGGGTCACATACCCTACACGACTATACTTCCTACTCAGGTATGTATGCCATCAGACCCTTTTAGGGTTCATCTGGTCCCCTAGGTACCTGCCACGGCTACGCAGCACAGTGAGACCTCAGGGTTGAGCCCAAGGGGTCTTCTTTTTCACAGCCATAAGAAGCTTTAAGCCTCGCAACCGTTCTTAAGGCTCCTTCACGAAAGGATGCAAGCGTTCGTCATCCCAGGCGCTACGAAGACGAGGCCCAAGAACCACCAGCCTCCAGCATCAGGTCATCAGGGGGCTTCGGACTCAGGGCTTCAGGCACCGACATCGGATCACCCGCGTAGGTTTGTCTATTTAGTCTAGAAACTCCTTTCTCAGGCAGGGAATCTGTGTTCCGCATTTTTCCGGGGCTTCTTGGATGGAATCCAGCTCTGAGGTGCTTTCCGCTTTCCCAGGTTGAGCTCTCTTCTGACCAGGCGGCGCCGGCGCCGCCGTGGGGGCCGCGCTGGCGCTGGCGCTGGCGCCGGCGCCCCACCCTGAAGGTTTGGGACCGCTGAGGGTTTAGGGTTTAGGGTTTAGGGTTTAGGGTTTAGGGTTTAGGGTTTAGGCTTTCGGGTTTAGGGTCTTGGGCGTTGCTCTGTTGAAGGTCTGAGGCGCTTTGAGGTTTTGCCAGCTGGATTTTGTCTGGGGAGTTCTCGTGTTCCTCCATCTGGTGCGGGAACGCAGGGCCACTTCGTTTCAACACTGCAGATGGCCACCGTGCAGGGTGTAGTTGATCGTCGAATAGCAGAACGATGCGCAGTTCTACGCCGAACTGGCTTGTTTGGCTTGTGTTTCCGAGGGCGTGTTGGGGTTCAGTGCTGTGTACCAAGGGTTTCCGTGTGTGTGTGTGTGTGGGTTGCAAGAAATTAGCACTGCGTCGTTGCATCGTTCCATTGTGTGAATGCCCCTAAACCCTAAACCCTAAACCCTAAACCCTAAACCCTAAACCCTGTCATTGTTTGGGTCCCGCGTGCCTGGACTGGGGCAGCATCCATTCCAGGCGCCCCGTTTGGATCGGATGCACAGCTTGAAGCCAACCAAGGCTTGCGGTATCGACGAGTTGTTTAGGGTTTAGGGTTTAGGGTTTAGGGTTTAGGGTTTAGGGTATACCCTAATGTATACTAAGGATCCTTACTATCAAGTAGGGTGTGTACCTTAGTTAAGCGGTTTTGGAAGATCTGGGTACTTATAGGATGTTTAGGGCCGGCTTGGGGCATCTCATAGGAGGGCGCGACAATACCGGAATATAGATGGTTGCTACTCATCGAACTCCTTGGAGAGTGGGGTTCCCTAAACCCTAAACCCTAAACCCAAACCCCTAAACCCTAAACCCTAAACCCTAAACCCTGGCCACAGTCAGAGACTGGAACTCTGGAATGGTGTGGAGGCTTCCCTAACGAATGTCCTGGAAAAAAGTGCGCATTGGGCACTTGCCACCTTCAATTCGTAGTCTTAGAAACTCACCAAAAATCTCACCGCAAACAGTACTCTGAAACAGCCCACATCCGATCCTAAATCTCCGTTTGCAACGACAGTTACGTAAGGATGGCGACCCAGTCCACCCACCCAACCCTATCCCCACCCACCACCCCCCCCCCCCCCCCAAAAAAAAAAAACATCTACGTACATAAGTCTAGCACACATAACGAACGAACACCGGCCCACACTCTACAGGGTCGGGCGCCGTAGTGGTCCCACCGCGCCACCGCGTGGAGCGGCGTGTTCTGGAGGTCGCCATGCGCTTGGTGCGCCTCGATAGATCAAAGTGCTGGGCGTGTTGGCGGTCTGGCGTTTGGGCTTTGCTTCTAAGGTTTCAAGCAGGAGGGCCTGCGGCGGAAGATCTCCCCTGGCTTTTCTGTAAGTCGACAAACCACCGCGCCTTCTCGGCACCTGCCGATATCCCTAAACCTTAAACAGCGGGAGGGTCCTTGACGTGACATGCCAGGCTAAGGTGTGGCGATTCACTGCCCCACCTTCGTCCTACAAGGACCTACTGCCCAACAGTGTTCGCAGCGCACTTCTGCACAAATCTACACCATCCTCGGGGACGAACTGAACTCTTTCCTTTGGGGGTTACATACCCTATACTACAGATAATTCCTATTCGGGTCTATGAGCCAGAAACCCTTTTAGGGTTCATCTGGTCCCTAAGGATAACAATGCCATAACCGCAGGCTACAAGGTGAGCCAGGAGATCTTGTTCACCCTCTTACCCCTTCCACACCAAGAACATCCCAAGCAAGGCTGCACCCAAAGGACTCAGGCCGAGGGTTTAGGGTTTAGGGCTTGGGGTTTAGGGTTTAGAATGCCAGGCACCCTGCACTGCTGCACATGCAATGCCGAAGCCAAAACCGCTTAAACAATTAAGATGGGGACCCTCGGAAGCAGCGTGTTTTTCACCACTTGCAACGACACTAAACCCGGGATCAGAAGGTATTGGTGAGACGGAACTATTTCGGGAACCGAGTAGGGTGCTGCGCAGGCACGGCATGGTCATGCATGGTCTGATATTGAGACTTGAGCACCGCGGTGTGAAATCTTCAAGGAAGCTGTCTAAGGCAATGGCCAGTGCCGAAGACAACGTGCCATGTGAACCTCAGGCATGTCCGCAAATGTGCAGGCCGTTTAGCCGCAGGGTAATTGCATGGGCCCTTAATATGGTCCCGAACCTCCTGCTAGGTTATAGGGCTTAGAGGGTGGTTGGGATGATACAGCTCATTTCTGCGCATGCATCGGTGCCTCCCTCCCCCGCACGGCAGGCGCCACATACCCTCTGAGCGTCTGATTGGGGGGGGGGGGGGGGGGGGGGGGGGGGGTAGGTTCGGGAACTTGCCCCCGAACTCTGAGAGCACAAGGGGTTGGTCCATACACGGGGGTTTAGGGTTTTCCGGGTCGGTGATGGTCCAAGGTGACTTGGGTGCAGAGTTGCCATCATGTCTTGAAGGAGCTACCATGTGCTTGCTAGTATCTTTTTGCCTCGGGACCTCTACCCAAAGCCCAACGCCCCTAAACCCTAAACCCTAAACCCTAAACCCCTAAACCCCAAACCCCAAACCCTAAACCCTAAACCCTTGAATCTCGTTGTAGGGCGGGCGCTCAGGGCTTCAAGCAGCAAGTTCGTGGCCTGAGCCCAAGGAGGATGAGGCCGACCTAGTACTTCGACTCTCAGGGCCCTGAACCCTAAACCCTAAACCCTAAACCCTAAACCCTAAAACCCTAAAACCCTAAACCCTAAACCCTAAACCCTAAACTTGGCCCTAAACCCTAAACCCTGAACCCTACACCCTTTGGGATGTCAGGTCTATTTTGCCAGAAAGGCTTCAGGGCGGTTTCTAAGGGAAACCAGGGCTCAGATGGAGTTCCTCAATTTGACCCCCGCCGAAAAAAAATCCCCCAACTCCATTCCGCCACTTGAAACTGCAGAACGCTTCCTTCGGGACGACATGAACCCAAAAATTGGGGACATATACCCTGTACTACTAGAAATATCATATTTCCTATTAAGGTATATATAACTACCATACTTCCTATTTCGGTATATTTTTGCATTATAATTCCTATTAAGGTATTCTATGAATATTATACTTCCATTCGGGTATGGGAGCCATGCATGGCTGGAGTGAACTCCCAAACTTGAAGCTCCCGAGCTCAAGGCCTGGATGCTCCGAGCGAAGTGCCGCCTCAGGTTCGTTGCTCGCCTACTCCTTGGGGACGACTTGAACCCAAAAAATTGGGGTCATATACCCTACACTACTATATATAAGTTCCTATTAAGGTATGTTTACTTGAACCCAAAAATTGGGGTCATTTACCGTACACTACCATAATTCCTCTTAAGGTATATGAGCCATAAACCCTTTTAAGGGTTCATTTGGTCCCCAAGGCTTACGTCACCCTTGCAAGTTTCTGCACAGATCCCCACGTCCAAAGCACGCGATTTCTGGGAATCAGAGTCAGTCAGGACAGTAGACGAACATACGGAGGTGCCGCACAAGTCTGATTCGTGTTTCCATAGATAAGGCAGGATGACTGCAGACTCTCTGGAACAATCCTTTCACACCTTGCTGAAGGATGCGTTCATCTCAGTGTCACACGGGCATCTAACTGCGTCACACACGCCAGTGCATTCAAGAACTAGTCCCAAACTCCGTCTGTGCATACTAGCCTCTCAGCAATCCAACTGAGCTTACTCTAAGACGCCAAGGTTCGGAAACACGCATCAGCAGGGTTCGCCCAGAATCTGACGGCCCATGTTCTCCTGTGGCCCTGTGGCCTCTGGCCTGAAAAGGCATAGACCCAAAATTGGCAAGTCTTAAACCTTAAAACCCAACACTCGGGTAATGCTTGGCAGGAGCACTTCTCCAGCGGAGCTGGCAGTTCCGCATCATCGCCTTCTGATGAAAGCACCGACCAAATGCACAATTTCACCCTGCTGCTGACAAGCAATTGTTGATGTTGAGAGTTTGGGGCAAGAAGACCCGTTCTTGAAGCACTTCCAGGGAAACATGTCAGCAAGATACTTGTGATCTGTGAATCCGAACCACGATTTCTTCGGGCTTACGAGAGCTCCCATCCCAATCAGGACATGCCCGAACTGATCCTACCAATTGCTTAAGAACCCCGAAAAGTAAAAAGCATTCTTCCTTACAAGGGTCATATAGGGATTATTTTGTTTTTGTTTGCCTTTTGGGGGTTCTTAAGCAAATGGCAGGCTCTGTTCGTCGTACTCACGCGACCCTTGGGAAAGTTGACATGGACCGCCCGCCTCCGGGGCCAAACTCCGCGATCAAGTGTAACGGGAGCTCGCCACTGGAAGGTGCGGCAAGGCTTTGGGTTCAGTTGAGTACCTACACCCTAAACCCTAAACCCTAAACCCTAAACCCTAAACCCTGAACCCTGAACCCTGAACCCTAAACGACAAGGCTTTGGGTTAAGTTGAATCCTCAAAGTTGGCTTTGAAAGCTGTCCTGGTCGTGGGAGCATGGCTTATGAAAAAGGTCCGCAAGCAACACTGTCGCTCGATTCACGACAAGATCCTCATCCCCAGGGAAAACATCGCTGGACTCTAGACTCGAGGGCTGAAACCCTAAACCCTAAACCCTGAACCCTAAACCCTAAACCCTAAACCCTGGAAGATCAACCTTATGCGCACAAGCCCGTGCACCTGCTGTTCTCCAGCGCTGGCGAAACGCCAGTTGCGAGCAGAGCACTCAAAGCCTTCAGCAGGGGAGGCTACTCGAAGTGAGCATCTTTTTCCAAAGGGGGTTTAGGGTTTAGGGTTTAGGGTTTAGGGTTGATTCCAGAGTATACCGCCAGCAACAGCAGCGCTACCGGCAGGAACGGCATAAACACTTTTGAAAGCGTCGCATGACATCGGGGCCCAGACATAAAACATGCTTTTCCAGGCCACTCGCATGAAATGCATCGGCACGTCCAAAGTGCAGCACTCCCCAGCGCTTCTCAGCAAGCTTCTCCAAAGCCCAGCCACAGCTACAAATCAACGGGTGGAGCTTTGCTTGTTGCTCCTCTATTTTTGTTGCTCCTTCTACGGGCTCTCCGCCAGGACCCATTGTCAGCACTTTTGACACGCAAAGGGCTCCAAAACCATTCCGAGGGTTGTGACCGCGACACGCCCAAACCATGTTAACTGCAATTTTACAGGCGACTCGCGATGACAAAGTCCAGGCTCCACAAGCGACGACAGTTACGAAGACAGCGGATCTGCCTGCAGCTCCTAACAAGTTTGATATTGACACGGAACGATCCCAAACATGGGCTTCCGCAACCACAGCCACCGCGCATTACCCCCTGTTCGGCCTGTTCGGCAAACCATGCTTGCGGACTTGAGGATGAACTTGTGAAAGCAAATATTGACGATGTGCCGTCCAGAAAGTACACAGAACATGGAGGTTCATACCCAGATATGTTCAGCATTTTGTTGTCGCTATAACGAATCAGAAGGAGAGCTCTTGCAACGCAACGTTCCTTGTAGATTGAAAGATGTGCCAGGCACTTGGGTTTGCAGGAAAGCGCCTATTGCATTGGGACAGGAGGTGCGCAGCCTCCCCGCACATTTGCAGCACTTGCGAACTATGGGCGAGTATGCAAAACATTATTCTTGCGGAGTTCTGATAGGACTTGCCAGGTGAGGGGGGAAGGCCCCCATTTGCAAAGCTGTTGCCACACCATGGACGAGCTGTGAAACGGTGGCCCCTCGCCTAAGTTCTGATAGCAACATGCCCGTCCAGTATCCGAAAAATCAAGCGGACGGTTTAGGTTTTTTAGGGTTTGGGTTTGGGGTTTAGGGTTTATGGTTTAGGGTTTAGGGTTTAGGGTTTAGGGTTTAGGGTTTAGGGGGTTTGGGGAAGGGTCGGCACTTCAGGAAGCTCTGGGGAACACGGCGTAAAAGGAACAAACAAACACGCGGCCCCCCATGTCAACTGGGGCAAACCAACATGGAGCAAAAAGCTTTCCAACGCAGCACACGCACACCAAGCTCTCAGCCACATCAAGCTCCATCACCCTCAACTTTGCTGCTCGCCTTTGGCGAGCCGTAGAGAATCGCACAGTGTACTGCAGAGTCTCCTTGGTTGTCGCCTCGCAGGGCACGACAGTTCGGTCTGCCACTTGCAGGTTTGATGTTTGGGATTTGTACATCTCGTCGGTTACAACTCGGACCCATCTTGCAACGCGACAGTCGCACCAAGACCCCGGAAAAGGGGTGGGGGGGGGGGGGTGCCGCAGCAGCCATGGGCCAACCCCAACAAACCAGATGCGCCTCCAATTTTGACACACAACCTCCAGCACTGCCTTGGCAGACAACACCTAGGCCTCTCGATCTCGAGGAGCATTAAGAACACCCAGAACACCCAGGCCCAATCACCCTTCGATGCCTCTCCTTTCCCCGTCTCGACAGCGTTTGGACTTCGAATACTTGCATAATTTTGCTGCCTCTGTGAATACCACAGAAGTACCACTGCCAGCACAAGAAGCGACATCTATCGTCCATGGCTCTGAAATGCAACAGGTCGAGTCCCTTTTGCCTTAAAGCCCGTGGTCAAGGACTGGTCTGATCTCTTAAGGCCCTCATCTCCGAATGTCCAGCTCCCTCCTATTCTTCTCATTCTCCCTCTGGCTCTCTTTCTTGGCATTGAGGCAAGAGAGAGGAACTTACCCTACACAGTTTGCGTCCGCCCCTCTCTCTTTCGCTCTGTCTCTCTCTCTCTCTCCCTCCCTCCCTCTCCCTCCCTCCCTCCCCAACTCTTCAATCGCCCACACGGGCCATATGTCTCTTCATCTTAGACTATGGCCCATGGCGGGGTCGGCCCGTGCTGCGAGAAGCGCGGCAGCCTCAGGGCTTGAGGGCATTTAGAGCTTCATCTAGGGTGTGAGCGTTTAGGGTTTAGGGTTTAGGGTTTAGGGGTTTAGGGGTTTAGGGGTTTAGGGGTTTAGGGTTTTTCTCATGCAATGCGAAAAGTAGATTCAAGGGGTGTTTGCAGATGTGTGGGCGCTTCACGCCTCGTCTCTGGGAGGTTCTGGGCTTCGTGCCTTGGGCTCACTGTCTGTGTGTGTGGGTTTTGTGCCCCATTCATCATGTGAATCACCAGAGTGTTGGCTGGGACTGCTTCGAGTTTGCGTCTTGAAGAGGTCAAGTTTCTCAGCTTTTGGTTTCAGAATTCTCGCCTTGAGCCCTAGTCTGATAGCAAAGGAAGAGCCGTCACTATGCCATCTATGGCAGGCTGTGTGTCAATTGGCAAACTTCGCGCGTGCTTCACGCTTTTTTCTGTGTAGCTCCTGGGTTTGCCATCATACCTGCGAACCCATTTGCACTTGTTCTTGGCCCCTCTGCTCCACTCCAGTGCTGCGGCTGTAGTAGCCGCGCCGCTTTGGCAACTCAGCAGCAACAAGTGCATACGGGAAACCGATACGAAGGCCTCTGAGATCATGGTGGGCACTGAAAAATGTCACTTGAATTAACAGCGGCCCTTCTGCGCATCTGCACTTACTTACGAAGTCTGCAAGGACCCGACAGCCCTGTGTCTTCCTTGGGGAGGACACGAACCCCTAAAATTGGGGTCGCCTTTCTGTCCCCAACCCTAAACCCTAAACCCTAAACCCTAAACCCTAAACCCTAAACCCTAAACCCTAAACCCTAAACCCTTAACTTAAGAGCTTCGAGCTGAAAGGCGCTGGTGATACCACTAGTTAAGAAGACATATGCCTGCCAATCACTGGCGGCTGGAGTCCTGCTCCCCGTGTCTGAGAAAACTTGCATCAACAGGAATACCTGTGATGTGAGGAACCCTAAACCCTAAACCCTCAACCCTAAACCCTACACCCTGTATCGGCTCGGATGTTGACTCAGACGGCTCACCTGCTGTCTCACTTCTCCTCGGTCGCTGGCTCAGGTTCCTCTGCCTTCGTTTCCTCCTCCTCGCCATGGTTGAACCCTAAAACACACAAAAGTGAAACCCTACGAATAACAAGGCCCTTTGAAAGGACAAAACCGTACATCATGTTCTTTACCTCCACACCTTTGCACAAAACTCCACCTCTCAAAGCCCTGACCCTTAAGCCAATGCACCTAACCTAGGGAACCAAATGAACCCTAACTTTAAAATTGGGACCGTATACCCTATACTACTATAATCCTTTTTAGGGTTCATTGGGTCCTCAAGGTAACCTGTGTCGCACTGCAGGGAAGTCGGGGCACGGGGAAGGGCACACTTCACAAACCCTAAACCCTAAACCCTAAAGCCTAAAGCCTAAACCCCATATTCCTGGGCCAACGGTATCATGTCCTCCTCTCCGCCAGAGATGAGCTTGAAGCCGCCGATGCACGCGGCCAGGATCACGGCGCCCACGACTGGGTGACCCTTCCTGGCACGCTTGTGGCTGTGAAGCTTCGGGCGTTCAGTTCGTTCGTTCGCAGTCTCTACCTTACCTTGAGAGTTGAAGGTAACTAGGCTTGGTGTCTGCAAATTTGCTTCGGTCGGCGATTGTGCTGTTCACGTACCGGTTGCTGCGGCAGCCGACAGAATCAAGGCTACTGTTCATGAAGATGAACTGCAGAAGAATATTCTGACTGCGTGCCTCTTGCATAGATATACGGTTTAGGGTTTAGGGTTTAGGGTTTAGAGCTGTGAGGGCTTGGCCTTTGGTCCGCAAGCTTCCAACCCATGCCGGGCTTGCAAGTAGGCAAAGGCCGTCTCCGCAAAGGGGGTGACCAATCGGCCGACGAACCTTCATGGGTTTAGGGTTTAGGGTTTCGGGTTTAGTTGACACTACCCCCCCCCCTTGGTTCCCCCGGGGATAGCTTTCAAAAAGCAGATGAAGCCTTTTATGAAGCTTTGAAGCTTTGAAGCCTGAGGACAAGCCCACATCCCCAAACCCTACCTTAACCGTCCCTTAACTATCCGTCAACCCTCCGTGTTGACCCTCTGGAGCAAGAAGCAGGGAGATGCCCATGATCGTTGCACCGATGCCAGTGGAGCGTGCATAGTTCACCGGCTTGAAGTACTCACCTCACAAGTCCAAATTTGCTGCAAGACTCACCGAAGAAGTGTAAAGCTTTGGTTCAGGTTTTCATCCTGGGATGTGGATGCCATCTGCAGCCCCAAACACAGGCAAAACCCGTTTGGAGCCCAAGAAACCTGCGGACGATGTGAGGCGCTGCCACAAGTCACCAATGCAGGGGTTCCAACCAGATCCAGAAGTTCCAACTTTGGGCAAGGAACCCGAAACCCTAAACCCTAAACATCCCTTTTGCCAAGCCCTAAACCGTTTCAGGGTCTGGCGATTCGGCTGTTGCGCGCGTTAAATGTGATTCTACAATTCTGGGGTTTCGGGCCCGCGCTTGCCTCCGCTTCACGCGTAAGAAGCCGCTTAGCTGAGTGCTCAGAACCCTAAACCCTAAACCCTAAACCCCTAACCCCTAAACCCTAAACCCTATGCGGAGCTGCAATTGGTATTGTAGAAAGGAGTTAGTGTTGGAAGTTGGAAGGGTTAATGAACCCGGTAATCGTATTTGGCTCAAGATGGGCTTGAACAGAAAGCCACAAGTTCAAAAAGTAGTGCCTGGGTTCTTAGGGTTTGGTAAGGGTGTGGATTCCTTCCCCCTTTCCTTCCCCCCTGGGTTGCTCTTATCCGTGTTCTTGGTTGTTTCTTGGTTCGATCTGGGAAATATAAGTTCAGGGCGATTAGGGGAGTTGATTTCCTTCCTTGGTTGTCCCCCCGTAGGTTATGAGCCCAAATTAGGTTCCCTGCGGTTAAGTGTTCTTTCAAGGTTTTGGGATCAAGAAGCAATGCCTTCTCCGAAGCGATGGCTCCAACTTGCCTCGGATGGTGGACAAGATGGTGGAGCTGGAAATGGTGCAGCTGAGTCTCTGGGTGAAAGATCGGTGTTGGAAGAGGTGATTCCCGACGCTGAAGTACATCTGGAAGAGGCCTTGGTTGCAGAAAGCCCCAATGCGGGTATGAATCCCAATAGGGATATGGTTAGCAATGCTGAAGCTGAAGGACGTGCTGTTTCTGTACCGCCAAAGCCTGGTGAAAAAAGGAACTGGGATGCGACTGGTGGCATAGATCGTGAAATGGAGGTGACTGTTTTACGAGTGTTACACAAACACGGGTACCAGCCGTCGTCTTCGACTTCGGGTCGAATGGTAGACCAAGAGTCTCAGACCGATCTGATTGGAGAAGTGCTACAAGCGACCAGGAGGCCGTTGAACAAGATCAAAAAGGGTCCATCTTCGAGTTCCCAAGGTGGTGGAAGCGGTCACAAACAGAAGGGTGCGGACGGCTTTGAAGCTGCACCTGCTGCTGAATACGCCATGGGGGAGGAGGAGATCCTACAGATGGAGGCTGAACGGTTGCGACAGCTGTCAGAAGAAGAGGACGAGATGCGACAGGTTTCTGAAAGGGACGGTTTTCGGAAAGACGAGCATCTGATCCAAGCGTGTGATGGCACAATGTGGGAATTGCACCTCCATGAAGATGGGAGACAATATTATTACTGCCTGGATACGCACGAAACCAAGTGGACATTGCCGGTGGTAGGTGAAAAGGTGAAGAGTGACGAGGTGGTTGGGTCTCCTTTGGGCAATGAGCTGGAAATGGAGGCGGCACTGGATTCTTCATCCTCTACTCCGAAGACTGAGTCTACGAGGGCATTCCAGGGTAGTGTAAATAGTTTAGGTGAAAAAGATTTTTCCTCTACTATCAGGGATAGCGGTCCTAGGGCTGATGGTGACGCCCCGACCCCGGGTTCTCCTGATGAGGAAGGGATTCCTGGGAACCAAGCCAACATCGCTGGAGCTCAACACCTGGATCGGGAAGAAACAGAAGCGCTTTCTGAGGGTGGGGCAGCGATGGAATTGGTGGATCCAGAAGAGAAAATGCCCAATGAGGTGATCGGAACTGTGTCGGCTGCAGAAGAGCGAGTGGTGGATGTGGTACCTGTTGTTCAGGAAGGTGGTCCTGGAGATTCGGAGGATGGAGAGAAAAAGTTGTGTGTTACGACTGAGGAGGTCTCTTCGTTTGGTGCCAAGAATTCTGCCATTCAAGGGGAAAAAGAAGCTTCTGGAATAGCTGGAGACACGGATGATCTGAAAAATGAGGCCTGGAGCGCCAATGATGCGCGGGTTGATGCGCCAGATATTACCTGGAGTGCGAAGGAAGCACGGGTTGAGGTGCATGTGGTGGTACGTTCCACGGGCGACTGCAACAATGGGGCGCAGGTCTCCGCAGCAGCTGATGATGGAGGTTCACAGGTGGACGCACTGGTGCAACCTGAAGTTAGCAGCGAGGAACGAAATGACAAGGGCTACACCGGAGCCAATGAGGCAGCTGTGGTCAATGATGGTGGAAATTCTCCTTTGGAGGCCATGGAACCAAAGGAGCCTGCGGTGGAAGAAAGCGTGCCTGCCGTGGATGATCGACTCAATTGCCCTGCAGTGGAAGAAGATTTGCCTGCTGCAGAAGGTGAGACAAAGGACTCCAATGATGGGTCCACTCCCATGAAGGGAGAAGCGTTGCCGTCTGGAAGTTCACCGGAAGTCGACACCGAGCGAACTACAGCAGATGAGGCAAAGCCGTTGGCGGAGAAAAAGGGAGGTCCTGAAATCCAGGAGCACAAAAAAGATGAGCTTGTGGGACTCGTGGAGCAGGACGAGCAGTGTGACCCAAAGGTGAAGACAAAGGATGCGCCAGGAGCCGATGATACAGAGATGGTTTCTGAAGAGCGTGTAAAGAAAGTGCCCCGAGCGGGAGCCTTGGAGTCACCTGGGCCACATTGCTATCAAGAGGGAGATGAGATCATGGGTCTGGTGCGCTGCATCAATGGGTATGGAGCCTTTTTGGACCATGGGGATATGAATGTATTGATTCCTGCAGAAGGGAACAATGCATATCAGTTCAAGTTTGGTGATACTGTCAATGGAACAGTGAAACGAGTGGAAGATGATGGTACCATAATCTTGGACACCTTTCTGGTTTTGGAAGAGGACGTGGAGGACTCTTCTTCGACGCTGCGGAAGTGGAAACCCAGCGGCTGGAGTACGTGGTGGACGGATTCATGGTATGCTGGTCAATGGTACCAAGATTCCAACGGTCAATGGGACTGGAAACAGGAGGAAGAGCAATCCGATGAAGAGCTTGTGGTACAGGAGTTGTCTTCTGAAGAACGAAAAGAAAGGCAACTTTATGGAGAAAAGATCTACAAAGCTCTTCTGGAGAATGGAAATGAAGAGGAAGCCTATGTTGGCAAAATTACTGGGATGCTGTTAGGTCGGCCGATGGAAGATTTACAGGAGTGTGTTGCGGATCAGGCATTCCTCAATGCGGAAGCTCGGCGCGCGTATGGCATCTTGCAAAATGATGGTTGGAAGCCTGATGGTACAGAAAGCACAGGCTTGGGGAAGTTAACCACTTTTTCCCGAAAACAGTACCACAACGCGCTTTTCGAACTGGCATGCAGAAAAAGGAGATTTTCTCGACCAGTTGTGGGTGAAGCGGTGGCAACGGTGCTGAATCAAGGGGAAGATGAGTTTTGGAACGCGCTTTGGTTGGACACCAAGCTATTTTTGCAGGAGCTTGATGGTGCAGTGCAATCCATGAGCAAAAGGGAGAACAAGCCAATGGAAGCCTACATGGATCCTGACCAGTACAAAAAGGCTTACATGACACCAAAGACGGTGTTGTCACCTGGTTACAGCAAGCTGTGCAGGTTCTTCAATAAGGGAAGGTGTCGCAATGGCGATGGGTGTCCCTATGAGCATCGTCGGTACGGTGAAGGTTGGCCAGAAGGGGGGTCAACTGATCCAAAGAATAGCCAAGAAGCTGATGATGAGGACGGGAACATCGGTGACCCTCCCACAGAGGAAGGTACAGTGGATGAGGCACAGCAGGAGCGGGAGGATTTAGCCTTCCGGGCCAAGTACAATTTTGGCAAAGGTGCATCAAAGGGTGAGCCTACGTCAGGTGAGCCAAAAGGTCGGCTGTGTCTGTATTACAATCAAGGTGGTTGTAAATATGGGACTGCATGCAGGTACCTTCACAACGATGATGTAGCATTGGAAGGGACTTGGGAGCCCGGCAAAGCTTGGGACAATGCTTCCAGGAAGTCACTAAGGGACGCAGGGTTCCACCATTGCTGTTTCGATTATTACCTCAGAGGACGTTGCCGGAAAGGGTTAAATTTCTGCAAGTACTCCCATGACGAGATGTCAGAGGAGCGGTTGTCGCTCCTGAAACACTTGGTACAGGTGGCCAATCAGGTCCGGTTTGAAAAAGAGAGAGGATGGGAGCTTACGGATAGAAGCACTTTTCAGCCACCTGCGAGTGGGGGAGCTGAATCTTCCTCATCCTCGGCACCAAAAGCGCTGCAAATGACCAATGTGTCACAAAAAGATGGTGAAAAAGGTATTCTGGATGAAGTAGAAGCTGATGAGCAAAAGAATTCGGTGGCTGCATCCACTAGTACTCAGCTTCACAATCCGGAGGAGCCGATTGAAAATTGGATGGCTCGCAACGCACACCTGTGGGTGTATACCCCTCATGTAAGTGAGGTGATGATTACGCTTGGTGTGACCAATGTGTCGGACTTGCAAGAGTTCATCTTTGTGGAAGATTTGGTTGACAAAGGGATCAACAAAGTGACCGCATGCAAAATTCTGCAATTGGTGGGTGAGGTCCGATATCGACCGGGAGGACCGGAAAAGGCAGTTCCGTCTGATGCATCTGTACGGGTACAACAATCTTCTGGGAACAAAGGGACTGGAAGAGCGGCGGTGCGAACCCTCACTCAGGTGCGTGAAGCTGAAGACTCCGGTGCAAAAACTATGCCGAGAGGTTCCTATCGGGAGCTTTTTGATAAGGTCAGGTACCGTGATGGTTGGACGCTTGCGCAGAGGTCTCCGTTGTGCGTACAGAAGCTGCGGTTGGTGGGAGTTGGAATGCCGCCGGTGAATCCACCAACGAAAAAGTATCGGTCAAGATCAAACCCTGTAAGAAGGGGAAGGCCCTTGCTGGACAAAAAACAGGTGCGACAGGTGCCACGATCTCGGTCACAACGACGAGTGCAACTGGCGGAAGTGGTGGAAAAACCGAAGCCACTGGAGCCGGTGAAACCTCGTGGTGGTTTGTCGTATCCATTCAGCAGAGCGTGGGCAGATGTGGTGGATGATGATGACCAGGCGGAGGCTTTGGTCTCGTATGCCGCTTCCTCAAGCGATTCAAGCGAGGAGGAGACCAATGCGGTACAACGCCTGAAGGAACTCTTTTTGCAAGAAAGGGATTCGTGGAGAACTGCGAGTCGTGGCAATGTTCCACAAAGTGGTTCTTCAGGCTCCAATGATGGGCCGAAAAAATCGGTTCACCTTGGCGAAGGGCGCGACAAAGCGTCGCGGGGGGAGACCCGCCAAGAAGTGACTTCTCAAGTTTTTTCGCTACCACAACCTTCTCGTCGAGCTGAACGGTCTCAAAAAAGAACAAGGGATGGTTCAGTTATGGTTGGTTCGCTGGCGGTGGGCTCCACGGATGAGGTTTTACCTGGGCAAGGTGCTGCTGGACAGGTGAATGTCTCTGAAAGCGCTCAAGTTCTTCCTGGGCATGAAGTGGCTGGACAGGAGACGGCGCCGGAAGGAGCAGTACAGATTTCTGGCGAGGAGACCGACCAAAAAGAAGGAGAAGGCGGGAGCAATGATCTCCGTGGTAATGATGCGAAGATGTTGGATGGTGGTCCGGTGAGGAGTGACCTTCAGCAATTGCTGGTGAAAGGCCTTCTGACTCGAATTTATTGGAAGGTTGCAGTTGGCAAGTTGCCAATGGGGCAAAGAGATTGCCAAAAAGGGTCCAATAAGATGGATCGAAATTTGGTTATTAGCATGTCATCCGAGGGTGCAAGCGAACAGGATGAGAACCTGGCACTGGAGGACGATGCTGATCAGTCAATGGGAGACGGTGCAATGGTTATGGTGTATGATCCAGGAACGCTGATCCAGTCGCCAACAACTGATTGGGTTATGCGTCGCGGTCTGACCGATCGTACCGTCTGGCCAGCAATGGCGCACCTGGCACAGAGGATATGTGCTGAAATGGTTCAAGTGGATGAAATGAATGCCCAGCTAGGGACTGGAACACTCCTTTTTCAAAGGAGAGATCAAGGATATTATACTGACCTGCATCATTCGTTCCATGACAACCCGTGCTTGCCGGCGGTGGGGAATTACCCTCTTTCGGTGATGGGTGCCTTGTTGTCTCCTGGTCTGGAAGGGGAATTCAAGAATACGGACAAGTTTGGTACTGCTATGGAGGCAATTGCCTATGATTGGAGCCGCAGTCCAGGCATGGAAGTTCATATTGAACTTATGGCGAGGGTAGCCAAAATGGTTCACCCATTCCTGAATCTGGGAGCACAAGGGTCGGTGATGGTTTCAGAATTTCTCTGGCAGCGCGGGAGGGCTCGGTTGATGGAGTTTCTTCAAGCGGCGACTTGTGCGGACCAATTGGAGGCTCTCTGGAGAAGGATGGACGACGATGCGGATGAGGAGGTGGATCCTTCGACAGCGATGCTGGAAGTTCTTGGACTAGAGGATGCGGTGCTTGATCAAGGGAACAATGAATCCCTTATTCCCATTGAAGATGCTGGAGGTGAGACAAGCGGTGACACTGGAGGGAAGGGCAAAGCGCCAGAAGTTTCTCCGGAAGAGGAGAAATCCAGTGGGTCATCCAGACTGGCGGACACAAGGATTTTCTTGTGGTCAGTGTACTCCCGCGTGGCTTCGAATTTCTCTATGCAGGACCGCACTACTGGTAAGATCTTTGACAGCACCAAAGGATATCCTGGTGAAGGACCAAACAATGATGACAATCCTTCCTCTAAGGGGAACTTTCCCTGGATTTCAGAAGACTACCTCGACGAAGTGGTGTCAAAAAAGATGGAAAGGTCTTCAGAGATGGATGGGTTTGTTCCGGGAAGTGAGGGATCATTGGAAAAGGTAGAGGTGGAGAATGTCACTGCCTCTAAAATTCTTATGGCTCTTTGGAAGAAGGGACATAGAGTTGGGTTTAGAAGGTTGCGTCGTTTGAATGCATCTGGATGCAAGGTTGGAGCAATGAAACGTCCAATCAAAAGGGTGCAGAAGATTGGCGCTAGGAAGGCCTTCATGAAGATGTTCAATGTTTTTGGATCGTCTCAGCATGGCTCAGGAGTTGGCGGAAAACCGATCATGAAGGTGGTAGGACCAAGGCCAGGTTTTCCAGCTGTACTCCAAGCACCAAATACTGATAGCACGTCGGGTGAAGGGAGCAGTCCCCAGGTACATGGCAATGTTCATGTAGAGCACAGTCGCCCTATGGACCGGTATGAGGCAGAGCGCTTGGAGAAGAGGAAGAAGGGTTTCTGCTATTGGTTTGGCAAAGGGAAAGATCGCTGCAAATTTGGTGACGACTGCAAATTCATCCATTCCGAAGATGATGTGGTGCTACATTCATATTGGTGCAAGTACTATGTGGCAGGGAGAGAATGTTTCGCTGGAAAGGATTGTGAGTTCTCGCATGATGCAACTGGTGTGAGGTGCGTCCAGTTTGCTCGGTCTGGGAAGTGTCGGTTTGGTGACAGGTGTGTCTTTGGACATGAGGTTCCGTTGGAAAAACAGAGGCCAAGGTCTCCAAGGACGCCCCCAAGGGATGGTCCAAGGAGAAAGTCTGGTGCAAATGGTGGAAAAAAGGAGATCTCTCCTGAACAGTTCGGTGATGATGAGGAGGATTTTATGGTTTATGACGAAGAGACCAAGATGACGGAACTGTTGATGGAGGCGATTTCATTTCTGTCCAATGGCAAATCAGATTTGGCTCGAGCAGAGGCGGACCCATTGTTCAAACTCCTGAAGATCACTGGAGATGCTGACTACATGGATCAAGTATGGGTTTCGTGGACCACTGAAATGTTGTCAGTGCTGGAACTTCTCGAAGTAGTGAAGTCGTACGATGTTTCGCTCGCGGAGGTGGAAGAATGGGTCAATGACCTGAGGATATGGTATGAGCGAGCCAATTTGGGAGAAGAAAAGGATCCCAAAAAAGGGAAAAAGAGGTCCCTAGAAGGGGAGTCCAGCAAAGATATTCCTGCCGAAAAAGAAGTGGTTGAGACTTCGGAGACGGAGGTTGCCGTTGAGGAGGAGAAGAAAAAGGTAAAAAAGAAGAGGAAAGCTGCAGCTATCGAAGATCCTTACACTCTCATGGTTCCAAAGCCGAAGAAGATGCCGACGATCATTGAGAAGGGTGGATCAACATCCAATGTGGTGGCTTCTGCAGTGGAAAAATCCTCGAAGACGCGCACAAAGTCAAATGTCGGTGGAAAGACAAAGAAGAAGGAGAAAAGTCAGAGTCCCAAAAAAGAAGAGGTGGTAATGGTGCAAGATCCTGAGGAAAAGGATCGTCCATCCGATGCGGAGGCACCAGGGTCTGCCAATGCGAATGAAGAGCTGGGTCAATCTTGCCAGGCGATTGAGGACGCAAAGAGAGAAGGATTGGTATCCTCAATTCAAAGGGGCATACAGGATCCTATTCTTACGATTTCGGACCTGGAGTATATTCTGCTGCAACTTCACCTCAAGATTGCCAACAATCGGAAAAAGAAGTGATTGGATGGTATGGATGAAGGGATGGTTTTTCTCTTTCTGGAGACCGGTGCGCTGGAACAGCCAATGTGCTGACAATGTGGTGGTTACTATTAAGGGTATGGAAATCCCTGATAGTAGGAGTCAGTAGCTTTTCGCGTAGCGAAGACCACGGTTTGTGGTGAAGAAGGCCAAGGAGTCTTCAGTGATGAGAGGATCAAGGTGAAAAAAGATTCTCTATGGGTAGTAGGTTAGCCAATGTGCTATAATTCCGTCCTGGAAGACGTTAAACCACAATTTGCATTTCAAGCAGCTGGCTGCTGCCGTAATGGCAGTTTTTGGCCAAAAGATCTGCATCTCCAATGTGTCCTAGGAAATCCTAGGACAGGGGGAGTGCGGAGCTGCAATTGGTATTGTAGAAAGGAGTTAGTGTTGGAAGTTGGAAGGGTTAATGAACCCGGTAATCGTATTTGGCTCAAGATGGGCTTGAACAGAAAGCCACAAGTTCAAAAAGTAGTGCCTGGGTTCTTAGGGTTTGGTAAGGGTGTGGATTCCTTCCCCCTTTCCTTCCCCCCTGGGTTGCTCTTATCCGTGTTCTTGGTTGTTTCTTGGTTCGATCTGGGAAATATAAGTTCAGGGCGATTAGGGGAGTTGATTTCCTTCCTTGGTTGTCCCCCCGTACCCTAAACCCTAAACCCTAAACCCTAAACCCTAAACCGCGAGCCGAGATGCCGAAGGACAGCTTCTTGTCCTTGGTTGGAGCATATAACTACACGGCGCGCATAAGGGGGTACACTGAGCCCTTTCTCTTGCTCCAATTGTTTCGCAAATTCCGTGCCGCGGCTTGCTTCTCTTTAGGAGCAAAAAACGAAAGTTGGACGCGGCACATGCAAGCATAACCTCCCCCTCCCCCCTATACCTTATCAGCCCCGCCCCCGACTTAATATCTCCCCCCAGGGTGTACGTTTTACTCCGGATGACACGATTTGCAAACCCCGGTTTTGATTCATCCCGGGGGCTATTCTTCTGAACATGGATGATGTAAAGAGTTTCGTGCCGGGTCTCTCACCCATTTTTTCTTCTGCCTCGAGATCTCTGGTTTCTGTGGTTGGCCTCCTCAATCCTCAACCCTCGACCCTCAACCCTACCCCAAACCCTAAACTCCTGTTCATTGTTCTGCTCCCTTCGTGTTGCGGCCCCTTCCCTGCCTTGCCTCTCGAGGAGTTAGTCCCCACTTCGGTGTGGGGAAATGCTAAAGTAAACTCTTCTCCTTGCCCGGTCTACTCCTAGCCCATCACCTGTATCCCACACCAGAGTATCCCCGCAAAATCCCTGGTGTGCCCAGCCCCAAAGTATTCCAAAAGAACCCCCTGGAGTGCCCAGCAGTTCCCAACCCCAGGGTATGCCCAAGAGACTGGAGCGCCCCCCTATCCCCAACCCCAAAACCCTAAACCCTAAAAACCCAGAGTATATCCAGAGAATTCCGGGAGTGCCCAACTCCCCAAGCAAACCCCCCCAACTTGTCCCCCAAACAGGTTGGCCGACGCAAGGGGCCGCTAGGCGTTCTTGTGTTCAGAACGGATTTAGGGTTTAGGGTTTAGGGTTTATTAAGAGAGCTTCATTCAAAGAGGTTTATTGACTTAGCTAGGCGTTTGTATTGAGCCTTGTCGATCCAGGCTTCTTTCGGCTGCAGCGTGTAGCCGCGCCACTCGTTGCAGGGCGAGGAGATGATGCAGGCAGCCCAGATGACAAATGCGAACCTGTCGGCCGAAGTGCAGCAATTGTCTTAGGGGAAGTAAAGGTTATCCTTTGGGATGAAAAAGGGGATGATATTACCCCAAAAAGGCTAAAGGTTACCTACTCTACTACTAGGACCTTACCAGGAGTTTTTGGTTCTGCAGGTCAATGCTCATCCTGTGCGTGTGCACTGCGGAGGGTTGCAAGAATACAGAAATGCTGGCAACCCGAAATGCAGCAGCCCAACGTCTCCCCCCAACGCAGCCTGTGGAACGGTGCAGGGGGGGGGGAGAGAGTTGCTTTAACCCAACGTGAACTGACAATTTCTCACCCTAAAGCAAGGCAACCGACCACCAAGACCAAAAGAAGGCAGCTGAAACTTCGATCTCAGCAGGGCCACACGAAGGCATCCTGGAGGAAAGTCTGCGGCTGGAACACCTCTTCGGGCTTCGAGAAGTTGGACTACTTGGCTTTGAAGATTGAGGTTGTCTGTTGTTTTACCTCCTACTGGCGCTAAGGGGGGACTCTAGCGGGAAGTCTGCTTTCTTGGGGTGGGATAACAAAAACGTAAAGGTCAACCAAAACTAAACAGCGAGATCAGAAGAGTTCAATAAGTACCAACAAAACTAGACACCAGTCTACTACTGCTCAGATGAATACCAACTAACAGGAATGCTAATGCTAATGTCTTGGATACCTTTGCTAGCAACACTACTGCTATTAGCATTGCCCCGATACGCTTCCGACAAGTATTGTTGCTGTGAATACTCTCCTAGTTCTCTGTTAACCATCAGACAGACTCCTGCTACAGTACTAGAGAACCCCTGAATTCAAATCAAATAAGCCGAGAAGCTGGAAGCCAGCAGAAAAAATGAGCAAAATGCCAAGAAACCAACCACTCAGCCAAGAACGCCAAACAATGCCAACAGAGATCAACAGAGCCATCGAAACCAAAGGCCTGACAAGCAGGCCCAGACAACAAAAAGACGGCGCAAAACCCGAGACGGACGCCAAAAGCCAAGAAGCCAAGCAGCGAGCAAGCCATTCAAGTAGAAGAGAGATGTTTGCTTGAAGACTTTCGTTTTGGACAATGGCTTGGGGGCTGTTAGCCCAAGCAAGCTCCGTCTCAGGACCCAGCGTATATCCACACTGGCACTGAGCTGGTAAGAACAAGGACAATACCACGTTAAACAAAAGTGCCGGCGCGGGGATTTCTCCGGTCCTCGGGGTGGGTGATGCACTGGCTCGGATGAAAGAGGGTTCCGTTCGCGAATTTAGCTTCAATTTAGCTTCCTCTTGTTGTTCTTCCCCTTCTTCTCCTTCTCAGCATGTATGGGGTTTGGGAGCTGCTCCTCTCCCACCCTGTGTTGGTACGAGCGGCAGGACTGGTCCTAGCCAGCTGGGGCTTGCTGGTATGTGCCGAGTTCTCAAGGTGGCAAACAGTTCTCACAATTGTGTGGGATTCTGCGTAGGGCTACAAGGACTGCTGATCCATGGGGAAGCGCCCAGGACCTCACTTAAGCCAGCACCCCTCTACATCCGACCTTGAAGCCAAACGTTCGGCTTCAGGGTCTTCGGCCTTTACACCCAAGCCCTCGCAGCACTGTGTCCCTGCCTCTGATTCATGGTTGGGACTATTAAAATTATAAATTTATACTCCTTATTGGGTTTAAGTACCCTTAAAAATGTAAAATGGTACCCAACTATGACCAAGGCCTTGGCCAAGGCCACGCCCACGAAGCCACGGGCCCAGCCATAGAGAATGTCGCGGACGACGGTGGGCACGTAGGCCTCAACCAGAACTTAGTTGTCCCGTACCTAGCGGGTTTAAAGGTTAACCTTTGGGATTCTAAGGGGAATATATTAACCCAAAAAGGTTAAAGGTTACCTACTCTACTACTAAGAGAAGCACCCAGTGCTTCCGCGCTTTTGAGGCCCATGTTCCGGCCGGGAGTGTTGCAAGAAGCGTGGACAGATGCGTGCCCCGAACCTTGCACCCTAAACCCTCTAAACCCTCTAAACCCTTTAAACCCTCTAAACCCTCTAAACCCTCTAAACCCTCTAAACCCTCTAAACCCTCTAACCCCTACAAAGCCTACAAAGCCTACAAACCCTAAACCCTAAACCCTAAACCCTAATTTGCCCTTACCCCGAAACCTCTGGTGGGACATTTGTGGGCCTGGTAGAGGAGAGCAGGCTTGATCTCCCACCCCATGCTCTTGCCTTATGAAGGAGGCTGTGGCGTTGGGGGGTTTAGGGTTTAGGATTTAGGGTCAAAAGGGTTTAGGGTTTAGGGTGTTGGGGGGATGTATGGCTTGACAACTACGCCTCGGGGTAAGTGAGGGTTTAGAGTTATAGAGTTTAGGGTAAGCCGGGTAAGCTTCGGGGTGTTGGATTTTGCCTCGGGCTCTTGAGCAGGACAGTCGCGAACAACGCGCATTGCATTTAAATGTTGGGTCCTGCAGGGGTTGGAGAGTTCAGGGCTTTGTTCCCGCTATTATGCCGCCAATGTATATACTCCAACTTGACAAAAGCAAGGTGCAGCAAACATTTGGACTACGAAGACTTCTCTGCCCTACCTTGCGGCTGAGCGCGGATGACCGGTGAACGCATCGGTTTTGATTCCCGAGCTGCGGAACCGGTAGTTGGTGACGGGCAGCATAGCCGTGCAGAACAGGAACCTGTGGAAGGAAAGCAACTTCAAGCTCAACGAGAAAAATGCAAGCGCTCAAGTAGTCGAAGTCGCTGAGGTCCAACGGCAACCCCGACACCATCGACACAAACACCATGGATGCTCCTGACTAACCTGGCGAAGCACCTACTCCCCTGAGTTGGACCCCTCCACGGAGCATTTTGCTTCGGATTTCTGCCGCCTTTTGCTCGCGACTGAAGTTGAAGGACTGGTCTATCGGATTTTGGGGTTAGTGGAGCCTCGGGGACCACATGAACCCTGAAAGGGTTGATGGCTCATATACCTTAATAATAGGAGTTTATGGTAGCACAGGGTTTTTGACCCCAATAAACCCTAAACCCTAAACCCTAAACCCTAAACCCCAATGTTCATGTCGTCCCCAAGGTCGATGGAGGTCGGGGCACCCGCTGATGGTGCCGCTCAAGCCGGCGCTGATCGCAGTGAAGGACATGGCCTGAGATTTCCAGTTGAAGATTTAGGGTTTGGGGTTTAGGGGTTAGGGGTTTAGGGGTTAAACAAAACAAACGAAAAAAAAACCAAACCCTGAGATTTCCAGCTGAGATTAGGGTTTAGGAAGTTTAGGAAGTTTCGGGTCTAGGGTGAAGGGGTTAGGGGATTGACATGATACATCCCCTTGCTGTGGGCCGAGGGAATATGTCATAAGTTTCCAAAACAGCACGACCATTTCGGATTCAGTCGGCTGGGGCTGAATGCCCAAGACCGAGGTGCACCATGTCTCTGAACCTATGCAAACGGCCTTGGACAGGAGTGAGTGAGCACCGTCTCCCCACGACAGCACCACATCACATGTAATAAGCCTATATCGCCGAGCTACACCATGTCAACTACATCGCCTCTTCGGGGAGCCCTTTTTGGAAAACCTCAAGGCTGGGCTGTCTTCTGGTTCCTTGGCCGCCTGCAACTGTATAAATTAAGAGAGCACTCACTCTTCCGAGCGGTTGGGTCTGAACGCAGTCCATCGAATCATTCCGACACCAGACTCTCAGGGGCCGAGCCGGCGGAGGAAGAGCTTAGAGCTTGGAACAGGTATATGGTGACTACATAAGGTATAAATGAGGGTTTTCTAGGGGAATAAGATTGAGGGTCCCTTCTAAAGGTCCCTCCTTAGACCCCTTAAGATGCGTACTGCAAGATGCACACCGCATGCACTGCTTGCCCTCCCCGAAACCCTAAACCCTAAACCCTAAACCCTAAACCCTAAACCCTCCCAATGCTGCCCAGGGGGCCATGTTGATGATCTCAAAAATGGGGAACTTCAACATGTTGGTGGGGAAGGTGGTCCTTGCACCCAGATCTTCCAAAACCCCCTGAATTAAGGAATATACCCCTAATTTATACGAAGGATCCTTATCATGAATTAGGGTATATTGCTCAAATCAAAGGGTTTTGGAAGATCTGGGCAGGCTGAACCCTTTTTGCTTCAGGGCTCCTGGGGTCTCTGGCCTGTGAGGATCGAAGCCAATGCGAGTTATGCAGGCTCAACCCTAAAGCCTACGTTTTTGTCTGTCTAGGCAAACGCCGTACAGTAAACCCTAAACCCTAAACCCCAAACCATCCCAAACCCCAAACCCGAAAGCATGCCTTAGGGGCCTTTCAAGACTTGGGGCACGTAGCGGAGGCTTCGGCTCAGGCGATGGGGCTGAGACCCTACATCCCCCCTAAATGCGGGTGAGGCTGGACTCTCAGGGCTTCAAGAACCATCATCCGAGAGTCAAGAAGAAGTTGGCCATGAGCTTGAAGTTCATCTCCTGCGCTCAGTATGGCTTTGGACCTGTGATCGTTGAGTGATCGTTGCTTTGAGTGGTCTGTTGAATTTAGATTTGTCAAGGTTGCATGCACGCCGCATTCTACGGTGCTCGCGAGTGGCCTGTGCTTGCTATGCGGTTGCGGGGAGCGGTCATTTGCCGCCTGTGAAAACCGAACGTCGCGTCAGCAGCATCTTTTGGCTTCTAAAACTGCATGCAAGAAAGTCTACACACAAAAGCGCTGGACGCCTGCTGCTGATGTGGGCTAAGCACGGGCCCTCCTACTGCGATTTTCTGGGAAGAGCAGCTGCCAAAATCGGAGAATGAACGGATGTGAGCGGGGCTGGCCAAACGAAATGCCCCCTTTCCTCTCCGAAAATATCAAGCAAAAGAGGCAGGCGAGACGACCCCCAGCTCTGTAAGCTTGCGTCTCTTCCGTGGGGGGAGCCTCCCTGGACCTTCAGGTACGCCATGAGCCTGAGAGATGCGACGTGCCGGGGATGGCCGCTGTTGCAACACCTTTCAGGCCTTGGGATGGCTCCAAAAACATACGCCGCACCCCCAGGTTGCACCTTGAAGGCCTCTGCCACCGTCATGCGCTTGACAAGCAAGCGGTTGACCTCCCATTGGCTGTGGGACGATTGGTTTGGGGTCAGGCTTCCTTCAAGGGCTTGACAAAGTCCGCAACTTCAACCCCAATCCCTCCGACCCCAGAAAATCTCCACCGCCTCAACCCCTGGCAGTGAAGCCTGCAGATGGTATGCATGTCAAGGAATGCCGTCAGGTGGACGCTTGTCTAGCAATGTCCCAGTTTCTTTTTGTGGTGCCGCCTCGCCCTGTTGGCTGCCAAAGGTGTTGGTAAGACATCAACCACCCCAATGCGCGGCCGAGTATGGCCCAATGCTGCCCCGAAGACATCCTGTGCAACCCTGTTTTTATGGTGTGAAAGAGGCTTTCAGACTATTTTTTGCATGGCAACTCCGAAAGTCTACTCCAAACTTGCTTCGGGCTAGAGGACCCACAAGCCCCCCCCCCCCCCCCCCCCAAAAAAAGAATTACCACAGGTCCAAACCCGGGCCGAGGTTCGCATGACTACTTCGCCCTGTGCGGGGGGGCGGGGGAGTCACCGGCTGACAACTGAACGCGGATCTGCCCTGCATCTTTGGCTTCGTAAACCCAAAAAAGTGCCCTGCCCCCTCCCCCCCCCCCCGGCCAGCGGCTCGCACATGGCAGAGAGGATAGCAGCCACGAAGGCGGCAGTTGCACCTTGTGCGCCTGCAGCGAAGACCTGAAGAATTTGGACGGACCCATGGTCGCTTGAAGGGTTCGGTGTTCAGAGGTGCTTTTGAAATAGCTCGCGGCTTGCAAGGCAAACGTTCACGTACTTTGAGTGTTCTTTGCCGGGTTGTGGCATGACGGGCTGAAAGCTCCGCCTGAGAAGCTTTCGGTTCCGTGTAGCGTGGCAGCATGCTCATGGGTTCCCCTACTACCCCCCTCTATACTAACCCCCCCCCCCCTAGGTGCCCCCCCCATAACTAAGGCTATTTAGGGACCGAAATACGGTTCATTAAGGGGTAACCTAGGGGGGGTAGTAGGTGAACCCATGACATTTGGCAGCGCCTTGCTAAAGAAGTTTGGCGCCGCCGCTGCGGCGGCCGTGGTCACAGCCGACTGGTCGCGCGAGGGAGTCACCTTCGTCTGGCTCGCAGCGATGGTTCTAGTGGGGTTTTGGGACGTTCCCCCTTATACTACCAGTCCTGAATAGGGATTCTAGTACCCCCTGTGCTAGTCCCCCCCTAAACCCTAAACCCTGAACCCTGAACCCTGAACCCTAAACCCTTCCCAAGTGCGGTTGCTCTTTTGCAATCAGGGCCTCTGTAGCTTGGCGGGGCACTTTCCGAAGGCCTATGCCGTAGCCTATGCCTACCCTTTCTTCTGGAAGCCTGCACTGGTTTACACATGATAACCATGGTAATAATCATCAAGATAGAATAGCAAAACATAATTTATATGCAAGAATGATAATAACATGTGTATGCATGGGTGTAGGGTGTAGGGTTTAGGGTTTCGGCTTCTCGGCAAAGCTCCACTGCAAGCTGCTTGTTTGGTTGAGGGCAGTTGGCTTGATAGGTCTGCTGGCTGGTGAAGGTCGTAGTATAGCAGAATGCCCCTACATGATGGGGTGATTACACTTGCCCGCGCTGATCCCAATGGACGTGCCAACCTGGAGAGCCCATGCTTGCTGCATCGGTACTTAAATTGAAACTGTGGACTCGCGCCCTAAACCCTAAACCCCAAACCCTAAACCCTAAACCTGGGCCAGTAGCAAATAGCAAAGCCACCTCTCTTGACCCCAAAAGCGCCGAACCCCAAGCTTAAACCCCTGCGTCAACTCTTTGTGGCGAGTGGCTCCAGCCGTAAGCGGAGCCCGGGCACCCGTGGACCTCTAGCAGCTAACAGCACACTTAGTTGTCCCGTACCTAGCGGGTTTAAAGGTTAGCCTTTGGGATTATAAGGGGAATATAGTAACCCAAAAAGGTCAAAGGTTACCTACTCTACTACTAAGCACAAATAGGCTTGGGGCGGCTTTTTGTTTCAGGTTTGTTGGGCTGCATGTGCATGCTCTTCGCCGTCACCTGCCTCTGTTTCCGACCCCAGGGTTGCATTGGGGCATTCCTGTAGGTTTAGGGTTTAGGGTTTAGGGTTTAGGGTTTAGGGCTTAGGGTTTAGGGTTTAGGGTTTAGGGTTGAGGTGAATGGGAGCCACGGCTAAACCTAGGGAACTTCTCAACCTTCTCGTGCTAAGCTGGAAGATCCTCAAGAAAGCCATGCCCGCAAACGCGCCTTGTCAGGGCAGTGGAGCTCCTTAGCATTCTTTTTAGGAATAAAAAAAGGTTACGCTTGATTGTTCCTGCTACATAAAGGAAACCCAACAAGTTTTAAGTTCAAATATTGGCTAAGTGTTTTTTGCAGACAAGCAACTTGCTTATTCCGGGCTGGGTGCACAGAAGCATCGCCGAATGAAAGCAATGGAATTGCGGGAGTCATGGGTGCCGCATGACTTTCCTAGTTATTTGATCTTGGTCCTAAGCTACTGTTCTTGTTACAGGGGAGGAAACATTTCAAAACAAAGGCAAGGAGGCAAAAAACGAAGAAGACATGAAGAAGCACTCTCAACCCTACTCCTATGCCCGGCACCTAACAGTCCTGGACCCCAAAAACCCTCCACAGCCTTCGCGAAACTACTTCTTACTCATCAGCTGGACGTCCCAAGAAACGTCACACAATGCTCAAGGCAGCGACCTTCTTCAGGCTGACAGGAACTGGATAAACCGGGGCAATTCCCAAATTTTGCGATCTTCGCCAAGGGTCTGGTGCTGGGCACAGCTGGATGGGCTCGCAAAGCCAACTAAGCTGCCTTGGTGTGCAAGGATGCCAAGCCTTAAACCTCAAGCTACGTTGTACCTTGGGATGTTACCCCTTATACTAACAGTCCTTAAGAGGGATTATCACTGGAGGTACTATAATCTTACTTAAGGACTATTGGTATAAGGGGGAACATCCCAAGCTGTACCGGCTTCAGCGCATCAATCTGAAGTTCTGCTTTGCTTCGGCCACCGGATGCCGGGCATTTCCGGATGCAATGGGGGGGGCTTCGTGGGCACTGCGCGGGGCGTACCCCTCCAAGACAACCCTGCAAGGCTTGTTCGCCAATGGAGCCTTTCAAGAACCCTGAAATTGGGGTCATATACCCTATACTACTTTCGTTCCCATTAAGGTATATGAACCATAAACCCTTTTAGGGTTCATTTGGTCCCTACGGTTCGGGTGCTCCTTCGGGTTGCGAGGCGGGCTTCTCTGAGGCGCTGAAAAGTTTGCATGCCCTTCAGCAGGGCTTCAAGGTCTTGCTTGTGTCCAGGTGCTGTTCCACAGCAGGCAGCAGCCAACAATTACCTGGGCGCGTGCGGCTGCGGGATGAAATTGACACAGATCTGCACTGCACCCACTACTCCGTTCCAAGATCATGATATCCATACGGTCTAGAATCTCGGCTTGCGCAACGTCCGCATAGGTTCACGCCGGCCGGCTCCATACACTAATCTGCTTCATCTTGTCCGGAAGGCTTAACTTTGCATGTCCAAGCAGCCAGCAGGGTCACTCCGCTGCGTCCACGCATGGCCATCGTGTCAGAAGAAATGGCAGGGAGTTAGTGACACGCTGTGGGCACAGGAGCAAGAACTCAGGGAAGATCGGCGAAGGTAAAGGCTTCCCGTTTGCAGGGGACCGCAGCTCCTTCTCAGGAAGCCCCTCTCAAGGCTCCGGCTTGACAAACCCTAAACCCTAAACCCTAAACCCTAAACCCTAAACCCACGTGCAGCTATACCCCCCTTAGAACCTTAGTAAAAATCATAAATCCCAAGGGGGATATAGGCAGGACAGAGCCAGCTCTGAGCCCAACCTTCCCTGAAACCCTAAACCCTAAACCCTAAACCCAACACAGGCCATGTTTAGGAACTGAGGAGGCCCAAGTCATGATGCTGGTGCTACCCTGGACCCTCTTCCTAAAGTGACACCGCCCCCAGTGAGACCATTGCCCGCCACCCTAAACCCTAAACCCTAAACCCTAAACCCTAAACCCTAAACCCTAAACAAATCCTAACCCCAAGCTCGAAGGTGCAGGGGCCATGCCTCCGAAACTTGAAAAACAGCGAATCCATACCGCATCTGCACTGTCTACACCCAACACGACCAAACGTTTAAACCCAAACATCAAGTCAAACAACCCTAAACCCTAAACCCCAAACCCTAAACCCTATCCCAAAACCCTAAAACCCTAAAACCCTAAAACCCTAAAACCCTAAAACCCTAAAACCCTAAAACCCTAAAACCCTAAAACCCTAAAACCCTAAAACCCTAAAACCCTAAAACCCTAAAACCCTAAAACCCTAAAACCCTAAAACCCTAAAACACTAAAACCCTAAAACCCTAAAACCCTAAAACCCTAAAACCCTAAAACCCTAAAACCCTAAAACCCTAAAACCCTAAAACCCTAAAACCCTAAAACCCTAAAACGGATGGCTCCACAACAGCTGAGCGCCGCGCGACTCCGGCCTGGGCACGTCGGGCTAAAGGGTTTAGGGTTTAGGGTTTAGGGTTTAGGCTTTAGGGCTTTAGGGCTTAGGGGGAGAGTGTGTTCATGCATGTTCTCAGGGCGTTGACGCCAAGGTCTGAGTCTGGGCACTCTCAGTTTTTGAGTGAGTCTTCAAGCATATACAAGCACGAAGCGAAAACATCAACGGCCCTTCTGCGCACCCTCTTGCTCTTGCCCAGACCCCTGGGAAGATCCAAGAAACAGTACCCCCAAATAGTACGCTATACTACTATTGGGTCATTCTTAGCAAGTAAACGAAGTATCCTCGACCCGAGGCCCGACAATGACACCCCTTATGAGAGCAGCAGCTACCAAAACGTCCCAGAGGGAATGAATGAAAGTCAGCCGTTGTGGCCGTTGCTAGGCTGGGTTTAGGGTTTAGGGTTAAGGGTTTAGGGTTTAGGGTTTAGAGTTTAGGGTTTAGGGTATAGGGCTATCTAAAGCACAGCAACATTCAACACACCCTTTTGTCCTCATTCCCTGTTATTGGTAGGCTCTAAGCTCTAAGCCCTTTTTGCAGAAAACCTCTTCATGACGCCAGGGGCTTTACGAGAGCTTCTATTTCTTTGGCACCAGGCTGTTTGACAAAATTAAGAGGGCTGATGGTATAACATTGCCCCTCAAGCCCCCTCCCTCTCCACGCATAGTCTTCAATCCTTCTAAGGAGACTTTGTGCCGGGCGCATGAAACCAGTCACTGGTGCGTATCGCCAGCCAAGCGGTCCAAGAAACGCATTTGGAGCTGGGAAAACCATGTCCGAAGCTCCAGACGATTCAAGGCGGTCTGTCAGCATCTAAAAGAAAGTAAAGAAAGTAGCATGGACCAGGCGTAGACCCCCAAACAGTGCAAGACCAGGTGCACGGCACATCGCAAGTGTGACCACTTTTTGGGGGAGGGTTTAGGGAAGCACCTTCTGAGTGCAAGCCCCAAAAAAGTGGGACCTAGCGACCTTGCCGATACCATGAATTGTCACCTTGGAGGATGCTGAAAGCCTGCGGTCTGGTACGAAAACTGCGACCCCGAAGCCCGTGGCCATGCTCGCGCAGGCGAGAAAGAGGCGAGAGCGCGATTTTTCGCCACAAATCGAGCGCCGCGCCTAGGCGAGAGCCGCGGAACGAGCCACTGTGACCCTGTGCACGCCGTCTGGCCCTTGCAGGCACCTTAGACCCCATAGTGCTGGTTGACACACTACTTCAGGGTGCAACTAGTTTTCGGACTTGAGGCCGACAGTGGGCCTGGCACAAAAGCGCTACTAGACCAAGAATCTCGAAAGTCTTCGCACATGGTTTCGACAGCTTGCACAGATGGCGTCCGTACCAGCAGTGTAAACAGTTGATGCCTCCAACTAGAAGTTGTGGTACTAAAGGTCCTGAAACTCAGACCCACGAGGAAACAGCACAGGATTTGCGACACCAGGCCCTCAATCTGTGAGCTCAAGAAAGAAAAAGCCATGGCACCTGTACCTACTGGTTCTTCGTGCAAGGCTACGCTATCGCCGCCCTTCATTCCATGGGACGCACGCTCCTATCTGTCCACTGTGATGTCAAACGTCAGGCTTCTAAGGAGACCCACTGGTTGCTGTTGGTTCTACCAGGGTTTAGGGTAGGTTGTGTCAAGACAAGACGTTGCTAGCTACACCTGTGACGTCGATGAAAGAGCTTCAATACGACACGATCGACATCAGCAGCTACTTAAGAGGGAGATGTCGGCATCATCCGGAGCTCGGCAGCTAAAGATCTTCGGTCACAATGAAAGTGCCCGTCTGGTCATCCTCGAAATCTAAGGTGTTCCCGTTGTCTGGGTAGACGCTGAATGCGTAACCTGAATGCAAGGACGGAAAGGTTCGGAATGTCTGCTGTAAGCACTGCAAGCACTCGAGGTTGCGTGTTGCCCTAGGCTGCTAGACCTTATAAAGTGCGAGAGGCTGCTCGGGTGCAGCTTTCTGTGCCTTCAGTGGTGCTCTGGGTACTGAGTCTACAGGCGACCTCTGCAAAAGGGTGCTTCGGTCTAAGGGACGCAGATGCAGCTGCAATGCCTAAGGCCCAATGCCCGACTCAAGAATTTGCACGGACTCGCCCCCATCCTTACCATAGCCTCCCAGAACCACCCGATCAAATGGTTTAGGGTTTAGGGTCTAGGGTTTAAGGTTTAGGGTTTAGGGTTTAGGTTTTAGGGACGAAGCCGCGCAGCAAACGATGGTTTTGCCCTTCATGTTGGGCGTCAGGAAGTGAGAGGCCTAGGGCCGCGTGCAGGGCGACTCCAAGAAGCCGCACATTGAAGTCTCTCAGGCTTTTACCGCTTTGCATTGTGTCCGTAAACTCTTTTTTGGGGTTTTTTGGGTTTTGGGATTTTTGGGTGTATGGAGTATAGGGTTTAGGGTGTTCCGGCTTTGCGATCCTTCCGCGGAAACCCACATTCGAACACCATACCAGTCATGGGCCTAAGGTTGAGGGTCCGCGGTGAGCCTGCGAGGCCAACTTGTGTGTGGTTGTCAAAGCTGCATTCGTTCGACTGATTGTGGACAGACACTATGTACCCGACGGACAAACATTCCCTGTTGCTGGATCGCATGCGTTTCTGTATGCACAAGTCCGACCCTAAACCCTTTTGCAACTGGACTCCTTGCTGCCAGGACGCCGAAACTCTTCTTGGAACCTAAACCCTAAACCCTAAACCCTAAACCGATAAAGAGGTGCTGGCCAAACAAGCGCCGGCAAGTTGCCCAGGTTGGGAACAGCGTCATGGTGCCTAGGTCGATGGTGAGGGAATGCGTCCTTGGTTCATCCAGAGCCCTTGGGGACGAAATGAACCCTAACACAGGTGTTGTATACCCTATACTACTATAAACAATAATTCCCCATTAAGGTATATGAGCAAAAGGGCTCGTTTTGTCCCCAAGAAACTCAACCTCTACTTCTGAGCAAAACTGGTGGCAATCCCCAGGCCCCAAACCCCTAATTTGTGGTGAGCGGCAAACCTGCCAGCAAATCCCGAATCATAAGCCTCCGAAATCTGTTCCTGGTAGACGACCACTTTGTGAGCTCGAAGTCCAAGCTTTACAAGCCCTAAGCCTATAGCCTTAGTATTGGGTTTAGGGTTTAGGGTTTAGGGTTTAGGGTTTAGGGTTTAGGGTTTAGGGTTTAGGGTTTAGGGTTTAGGGTTTAGGGTTTAGGGTTTAGGGTTTAGGGTTTAGGGTTTAGTTTAGGTTTCGGGTTTCAAGTTCAGGCCTTGCGGACATGTGGATTACAGAGTCCCGATGTACTTCGCAGTAAACAAATCCGGCAAGCCCGGGCAGGGCCTTGCAGGTGTCGCCCTTCAGCCTCTCAGTCCTAAACCCTTTTGTTGCCACTGGACTGAAGTCAAGCCAGACTCCATCCCTAAACCCTAAACCCTAAACCCTAAACCTTAAACCCTTTTTTACCCTAAACCCTTTTTGCCCTAAACCCTAAACCCTAAGCCCTAAGCCCAAGTGGGCTGCGGCCCAATCCCAACCCGCCCGCGGAGCTGCAACCGGGGCGAAGCAACTAAGCCCAACGATGCTTCCTCAACCCACCCTTAGGGTTTAGGGTTTAGGGTTTAGGGTTTAGGGTTTAGGGTTTAGGGTTTCGGGTTTAGGGTTTAGGGTTTAGGGTTACGAGCCGCCGGAGCGGCTTCCCAAAGGGTGGGTTGATCCCCCTGGGATCCTCGAAGTTGAACTTCATGGCGTTTCTCCTCGGCTCCGAGGGTTTGTTACTGTCCGGGGTTCAAGGGCCTCAAGGGAATGGTTTGCATGGTTTGTGGACCGAAGTTCCATTGCGCGGCTGGGGGGGGGGGCTGAGATTTTGAAGTTCAGGCTTCGGGCTCTTCGTTGGAGTCCCGGACTCAGGGGCATTTCCGACAAGCTGCTGCGCCTGCACCCAATAGCGGCCCATGACAAAACCGCCGTCTGTGTGAGCAGACGGCCTCAATGCCTGCGGCTTCCCCGAAGGCGCTTGCTCAGACGATCGGTGAAGCTTCGGATTGATGGTTTCAGGACATATATCCCTAACAACCATACTATAACCCTACTATAACCCTATGATACGCAAGGCTCTGGGACAGTTCCACTAACCCGCTGCGAAAGCTTTGCCTGCGGTTAAGAGGCCTAACTCGGATGGGAAAGCCCCTCACATTCTGCCTGGCGACCCTCATAATTCCAAGTATGGCTCGGCCCAGCAATCAGGGTTTGGGATGGGCCCTAGCACTGGGTGCTCCTGGTTTACTGGCTGGTTCTGATAGTAGGGAATGAGGGAATGAGGTACCCTATATCATCCCTTAAACCTCATTCCCTACCAAGAGCCAGGAAATTTTAAGGCTACAAAGCTTGTGTTTGAAGTTCAGTTTGGGCACAGAGAAGTTGGTTTGGCGCCCCGATGCACCAAGCACCGGCCCTTGGACCTTCCCTGTCGAAAGAACATCGGGGATTTGAGGAGGGGCGAAGCTTCTTTTATTACGGGATAACTTCTGGGCCCTCCACCAGCATAGGTTGCTCCCTAAACCCTTTTGACCAACCCTAAACCCTGAACCCTAAACCCTAAATAATATCATTGTTTGCAGGGGTCGGCTTGGTAGGTCTGGACATTCAGGATGCAGACAGCAGGTGCCTCGAACGGACTTTGTCCGCTCGCGAATGGAGGGCTTCATTCTAGAGATTCTAGGGTGGCCAGGCCCCAAACAAAAGCCAAGGGGCATCCCCAGGATTGAAGACCTCCACCCAGATGAAAATCTTGAACCTAACAGTCTTTGGACCGTGAGCTTCGTTTAGGAGTCGGTGCGCTGGCAATCAAACAAGGGATCAAACCTGCGAGCGCGGAGCCCGTGAGCTGTCTGAAACCTACAAGGCCTACATCGACGTAATTTCGCATCCTGAACCAGAACCTTGCCTGTTTTAGGGTATTTGCATGAAAAAGTCTTTATCCTGAACAAGAATAAGTTGCTTCTCTGATGGGGCCCTGAGCCCACTCCTGAAGCCTATGCTCGAACTTGCTTAGGATGGCTGGGCCAAAGGCGCCCGGGTGTTCGGGTCTTGGGTTCACGGCTCGTACGCCATTGTCCAAGGGACCTCTTCGGCAAGTCATCAGAATCCCATCCTGATCGCTTCAGGTATAACCTGCGGCTGAGGCGGAGAGGCAGAGGTTGGGCTTAGGGCCACACATCATCCCATCTTCTTTCGCGACTGCCCGGCCTTGCACTTTCCTGGATCCTGGCCCGAAGCCTCTTGAACACTGCATTCTCGTACCTCGGATACCAAGCAGCATGAAACAGTGCACGTGCTCTGACAATGTCAAGTTTGATGACGTCCGCGCACAAACCGGGTGCTTCCTGCTGCTCAATGCAGATACAGCTACCCAGCTGCCCTGAAAACAAAAACCCTGGAGGTCTCTGTGCGCATGCTTCAGCTCCTTCTCTGCTTGCAGCTTGGGTGCTTGGATCCTAAGCTGGATATGACGAAAATAGAGGGCCTAAGATAGATCCTCCCTTATGCTAAGGACCCTACACCCTAAACCCAAATAGTAAGATTCCCCAATAAACTACCCCCTTTTGCATCCAGGCCCCGTAACGACTACAAAGTACCCCCCCTAAAAAGCAAGATTTCCTTATGCTGAGGACCCTAAACCCTAAACCCTAAACTCTAAACCCTAAACCCTAAACCCTAAACCCTAAACCCAAATAGTAAGATTCCCGAAAGAGGTACCCCCGAATGTCGGAAACGCCCATATCACCGCAAAGGCACAGTTCTGGCCAGGCATAGTCCACGGCAGGCCAGGGCGCCTCACGGAACGGCTTCCCCGCGTTTAGGGTTTAGGGTTTAGGGTTTAGGGTTTAGGGTTTAGGGTTTAGGGTTTAGGGTTTAGGGTTTAGGGTAAAGTTTCATAGTAACTGCCCTTAACTAGTAGGTATAACCCAGAAAACTGTAGGGAAAGAGGGTCCCAGGTAGGGTTTGGGATGTCACGCCTTCGTTTTCGTGTTGCCCAGCATGAAATCCACATTGGCGCCCGCATCGAGAATGTCGAGTCCTGCGGCATTGACTTGCAGGTGCAACCGTCTGCTCCGCAACAGTTCCTCAAAGAGTCCTCCCAAGCCATAAGCCGAAAGGCGGCGTTGCAGCTCTATAGGGTTTGCAAGCAAGTTTGATTTTGAGTGGCTAAGGGAGATTGGACTTGCTGCCAGAGAAACATGGGTTAGCAAGCTGGGCAGGCATGTGCCGCAGGAGGATAGCAGCAAAGGGGTTACTTCGGACGTTCGGAGCAGCCTAGCTGCCTGGACCCTGAATTCAGGAGTGCGTCGCAAGACAACTCGGCACCAGCGACAGACTACTGCGGCTCCTATTCGATCCTCGTCAAAGTTTGCGGGGAAGATGTTTTTGTTCTGCATGGCAAAAACCTGCACCGCACACAAGACGACGCCTCCAGAGGTGGCCTGAAATCCATTGGGAACCGAATGAACCGTAGGGGTTTATGGCTCATACACCTCAATAGGAATTATGAATAGTATAATTAGGGCATATGACCCCAATTTTAGGGTTCATTTCGTCCCCAAGGTTCTGGTATCAACGCTTACACCGACCCCTTCTGCTGCACTTCCACGACAGTCCATCATCAAGCACAACCGAAAAACTGGACTCGCCCGGTCTCATGAAAGAAGCCCTCACCCCAAGCACCGCTGGGCTCTGCACTCGTTTTTGCCAGCGTCGAAATCCCAAATTCACCCGTGAGTGGTCGGCTGTCGCGAATGCCTCGAAAAGCAGTCAGGTTGAGTCAGCTGAGTCAAGCCTTGTGTTGAGTTCTATGCGGCCATGGGGCACTGTCACACGAGGTCATTGCTCCTCATGCTTCTCATCAAAGCCTGCAACCCGAAACCCGACTTTATCCGGCAGCCTCCGCGAAGGGCTTGTCAAGCTCCAGCTCCTTTGGCAGCGTCTTGTTGACGTACTCCTTCACGCAAAGCCGCTCTTTCAGGTTTAGGGTCTTACAGTCCTGGACTTAGGGGCATGAGGCTTCAGAGTCTCAAAAACCTCTCTGCAAGGCTCTACAGGCACATTCATACTGCAAGGTCCATGAGGTCCTTGGCTTCCTTATCTACTGGTTGAGGGTTTGGGGTTTAGGGTTTAGGGTTTAGGGGCTTCAACTCCTGAACTTAAGCGAAGTCGACCAAATTGTCTCCAACGGCGTTCAACGCACCCCCGACTCGACCTCAAACAATCAAGGAAGCTGCTGTACATCGACCTCATGCCTCTGAGAAAGGCCATGCGGCCCTGGTCAGCCCCTACACCCCCTAAACGCTTTTTGGGTACCCTAAACATCGAGGTTTACGAACATCAGGGACCCTAATTATAGACCCCCAAATAGTAGGATCCCCTTATAAAAAGGACACCCCCCCCCCCCCCCCCATATTCGGGTGCCGCCTAAGAGTTAAACCCTAAACCCTAAACCCTAAACCCTAAACCCTGAACCCTAAACCCTAAACCCTAAACCCTAAACCCTAAACTAAAATGGGAGCCGGTCCTGGAAGCCCCGGAGGCCGATCGCCGCCAGCTCTTCATGGAAGTCGGGGGTCTGCGGGTTTAGGGTTAAAGGTTTAGGGTTTAGGGTTTAGGGTTTAGGGCTCTTGTGACGAAGCCGTGATTCGGTTGTGGAACCACTCAGCTGTGATTTAGGGTGTTTTTTTTTTTTTTTTTTCGCGCGTGCGCGTGCGCGTGCGTAGCTGGACGAACCGCGTTTATTTTTTCACCACCTGCCTAGCAGCCTCGTAACCACAGTTTCAGGCTTAGGCTGGGAGAGTTCAGGGGTTTGATGGTTTTTGGGGCATTTCGGGTTTCAAGATTGTCGCCCTCAGGTTGATGGCCTCGGGGCTTTAGATTCGTTGCAGGAGTTGCTGCCCTATGTCGTGCGTGCTCTTGACTGCGCCTAGCATGTACAACTATAGTACCTATACGAGTACATCATCGCCACTACCAACAGCACCATCACCGTCAACAAGATCATCGTCATCAACATGACCTTCTTCATCACAAGAGCAAGCGTGGACGCCGTGAGCACCGAGACGGCTGCTACTTTTGATATAACGAGAGTTTGGAGGATGGCGACGACTACACGCCACGCACACTGAGCAATTTGCTGCTGAAAGAGCCCGAAGAAGCGTCTCATCGAGGCAAAGCTCGAAAAAAAAATGCGCCGCAAAATGCGGCGCCTCGCCTTCGGCATTGAGACTCAGAGATACAGAAGCATCGGGCATCAATCATATGTCAGTAGCCATCAGCATCGCAGTCCGTGGAACAACCCCTTAAATCGAGTCCAGGAGAAGCAGGGGAGTTTTGACAGCTCCCTGTGACCTGTGGCAATGATGTCGTGTCGTTTTTGAGGACACAACGCAGTCCCAAACCTCAACTCAATACCTCATACTGCTAGACCATATTCCATGACCACGCCACTACGCGCTGAAACAATGTCCGCCTCAAACGACTCGGACGTAGGAGTGGACATGGGAACCTGCACATGATTTAGGGCAAATTTAGGGTGGTCGTGTGGGCTTGATTTTTCTTGGATGGTCTAAACCCCACTATCACGCCAAACCGCTGGAGATGGAACTTCAGTGTGTTCCTTGGCACTGCAAAACATGAGCTGTGTTCGTACCATTGCTCCTTGCAGTCGGTGCGTTGACAATGTCGAGCTACATTGACCTACACACTCGTTAAGATGATCTATGGTGTGCTTGCCGCACAGAGTCAGACTTGGAAGCGGTTCAGGTCAGAGTCTCGTCCCTATGCCTGGGGTGGGAGGTGTCGTATTGAGGTCAACGCAGCACGTGTATCTCCCCCCTGGCTAAGCTGCAGTACGATTACATGTCCTGCAGTCGCGGTCAACTGCCATCAGGGGACCCAGATCTTCCAAAACCCATTAATTAAGGTATATACCCCAAGTCATAACAAGGATCCGTAGAATAAATCAGGGTATATTCCTTTCTTAAGGGGTTTTGGAAGATCTGGGGAGTGCGACGTCAGTTGCGTCTGGACTTCGTAGAAAGCCGATTCCATGATGCCTTCACAGTGGTGGCTCAAGGAGACTGGCCTCCTTTGTCATTTGTGGAAGAGTCTTCACCATGGGGGCATGTAACACATTGGCCCAATGTCCGGTAAGTTGCCATGAGTCGTCTTGTGCTGATGCCTGGCCTTTTGCGACGGCAACACATGCAGAGACATGGGGGTGGGAAATCTCTCGCCCTCTTTCCTCCCCATCTCCCACTCCCCGGCTCACAAAGCGACCTGAGTGCCAAGGCTCTTGGGACCCGCCCCCATAGTTTGTGCAACACAACATACAGCTGGTGAGCTAAGACCTCGTGCCTTAGTGGGCTTTGAAGCAGAACCTTGTTCATCTGAGGGTTGGCAAACGTTTCCCCCTGACTCCCTGACCATCCTCAACCCAGACTTCCTACAGCCCTAGAGGCCATCCCCACCCACCCCTTATGCCTGAGGCCAATATGCATGTGCAACAAACTCCACCGGAACTCTTCAAATCATCAAATCAAGCCAGAGAGACAGTACTCAGGTGGATAGGCCACAGGAACCTCAATTGGGCAGCTCATGGCTCATGCATGCATCAGGCTCAATTCTCACGTGGTGTGCACGGTTCTAGTCTTGGTCTCCGGTTCTCACGGCATAAAGGGTTGGTAGAGGTTGATTGTCGCACGCGCATCTCAGCCCTTAGCGTCCATGGCGTCATGTTGCTGTCATGCTGCGTTGCACCCGGTCTGCCCGCAGCCAATTGAAGGCCTTTTGGACAGCCCACAAAGCTTACATGCAGCCCTCAGCTTTAGAGCATTGAGCCCTGGACCTGATCCTCAACACTTCCCCATGCCCCAGGGCAAATCTCTTTATACATCCAAAAAGCCAAAACCCAGTCCTTGACACCGCACAAATGAAACTGTATTCCAGAGAGGCGCTTCATTCTGGCCTTGCCGGCCTGCACCACTTCCTCAGACTGTCCAAGGAGTTGATCAGTTCAGTGGCTCGGGGAGTGTAGGCTGACGGTTTGGGGCAGGGAATTTTTGCCACCCGCACTGCCCAGGGATTGGAGTATGAGGTTGAGCTGTGTTATTGATGCTGCTCAATGGTCAATCGTAACTGAAACATCTTGCGCTTCTCGAGGCGATGAAAAGAATCGATTCTCAAATGCTGTAAGATGCCGCGGAACAAGATCGAAAACCCTAAGCCCCTGCATCCCTAAACCCTCAAATGCACAAGAGGGATCTCTAGTGGTCGAAGCCTTGCTTATGGGAGGTGCCAGCATGATCAGATCCCACTCTCCGACCCTGAATGGCCAGAAAAAAACAGCTGCACGGCACAAGCCTAGCACAAACTGCAAATGCCTTCGGCCACGCTTCCTGAAACACGAGGCAGGCGATGAAGCCATGAAGACTTAGCCGCACGTGGCACGGCATGGCCGAAGGCTCAGCTTGTTCGCATATAAAATAGGTCCTGGGCTTACGTAGCTTTGTCCTCCCCTATAGCCCCAAGCCCTAAACCATTTTCTGCACCATGATCTTCTCTAGGGCCCTACGCGCTCTTCACCGCTAAACCCATAACCCGCTGAGCACGGGCGCAGTCGCAGTGCTACCAGTCTACGAACCATAGCCCGGCTAGGATGGAAGCAAACACGCTTGGCTCCAAGTGTTTGTTCAGTGTTGATTAGACTTGCAGGACATTATGTGTATATATATATGTCTGTGTGTGTATACAGTATATATATATATATATACATATGCAAATTACATACATATATATATATATATATATGTAGATGCTGACTTGTGTCTGGCAGTTTCTATCGCAGAGCGACCTGGCAGCCTTGCCCAAAGCTGCCAAAGATGCATGCTTGCGCCAGCGCAAACATGCAGTCTGGAATGAGTCTGGGTGATTCTCAGATCAGGAGACCAACAAACCCTAAACCCTAAACCCTAAACCCTGAACCCTGAACCCTAAACCCAAGACCCTGAGCCCTGAACCCTGAACCCCAACTACGCTTTAGAGCTGCTTGGAGCCCAAACCGCGTTGTTCTCGGCAGCCAGGTGTAGTGGCGTGCTCCCGTGGGGGTCGACCTGCGAAGGTTTAGGTGAGGTTTTAGGGTTTAGGGTTTAGGGTTTAGGGTTTGGGGTTTGGGGTTTAGGGTTTAGGGAGGTTGCCAATCCATACTGCAAGCACTCTTTGGTGCAAAGACTGTGCGGGAGTGCGCGGTGAATGCCGGCATGGATGCGGATTGATGCAGGTGCCGAAGAGTTTGTGTGTGGCGAAAACCCTAAACCCAAAACCCAAAACCCTAAACCCACCCAGGGCAGCCTTGGCATGCAACGGATCGCGGAAGCAGCACCACCTCGGATGTGTTCTGTCAGATTTCCAACAAGAACCTTCAGAGGTTCGATGGGTCGCCAGGCCCCCAACATCGACTGAACTGCTCCATAAGCTGCGCTCTTCTAAGCTCCGGCACTCTTTTGGAGTCATGTTTTCGGACTTTGGGGCTTTGACTTGGCAGACTTCTCCAATCTTCTCCAGGTGTGTGGCTTCGAGTGTTGCAACTCAAACATGCGGGGCCAGAAGTCACGTGAGCAGCCTGCACTGGTCAGCGGAAGAAAAGCCAGAGCGGCTCCTGTTTTAAGTTCCCTACAAACCCTAAACCCCTAAACAGTAAGCCCTAAACCCTACAAACCCGAAACCCCTAACCCTATGGCAGCTCGGGTCACCGCTGGACTTCCTCGCGCATGGTCTGGTCATCTGCCTGCTTGTTTGTGTCAAGGCCGGTAGGACTCCGCAAAAGCGATCTCTACACATGTGTTTAGGGTTTAGGGTGTAGGGGTTTTCTTTCAGGGTTGACAACAAGGGGGAAAGTTCGAAACAGCGTTTCGCCTGCAGACAGGGTTAAGGGTGCGGGCTTAGGGTGAGGCGCTCCTCTTCGTAGAGCCCTTGAGTCCTTGAGGCTGTTTGAAGCCCGTGATCTCCATTAACCGGACCTGCATTGCTGCTTCGTTGATGGGTTCATCTGCATCGGCCGGCTGTGCCTTAGCCACAAAGCTTCACGCTTGCTTCTCAATGTTCAATTCGGGTGACCCCATCAGAATCAGGACCCTGAAGCCCCGAGCTCTTGTGCTACGCAAGTGGGCAATCAAGCACGAATACCAACGGTAGCCTGAAAGCCAAAGTTCGCGCATCCTCGATGCAGCAAGCTGTCTCAGCTGACCATTATGTCGCAGATGTTGCCTGTATGCGCATTCTTTTACAGTTAAAGAATTGGCAAACCGCACCCCAAGCTTCTTGCTGAGGCGTGTGCAGGACGGTGGCAGGGCTTCTCCATCTCGGCCTGCAGCACCGGCCAACCCGGTTGACCATGGATGGCAGGTTCTGGCCTTTTGTGGCTGTGTCCCCCTGACTCTTAGTAGGGAAGGAGGGAAGTAGGGCCCTATATGTACCCTGTAAGGGACTATAAAGGGTACCTCGCTCCCTCATTCCCTACTAAGAACCAGCCAGTTATCTGTGTGGATGCTGGGTGCATGCGTGGTTTCGATCTGCATCACGCAGAGACCCCGAATCCCTACTTTGCAAACCCCTCGCACTCAGGACATTCAACACACAAACCTTGGGATTATAGTATCCCCGATGATAATCCCTATTAACGACGGTTAGTATGAGGGGGAACATCCCAACACAAACCCCCCAAACCTCACCCGAACCTCTCGGATGGTGGCCGCCCTCCGTGCGAGGATTCCCGCAGCGCGTGCCTGAGCCCAACCACAGGGTACAGAGCTTGAAGACTACGTTCGCAACAATATTGAGGGCATCGGGTCCACAAACTCTGCAACTAAAGGCTGTTGCAGGAAGCAGACTTATCGTTCCTTTGCCCAAGCTGCTGGAGAGAACATGAGCGTAGGGCTCAGCTTTAGCTAGCCATGGATGCCTTGCCTAAACCCTAAACCCTAAGCCCTCAAGGCGTTCATCTCTTCGGAGGCTTGGGATGACCATAGCTTACTGTAAATGGGTGGTTGTCAAAATTAAGTATGACCCCTTTTTTTGAGGGTTTAGGGTTTTTGGATCCCTATGATAATACGGCACCTAATATTTAGGGTACCCCAACAGGGAGCATCATGTTGACAACCACCCAAATGGGACATGGGGCGTGCAATCTATGCTTCTGGAAGACATAGATGGAAAGAGCCGAGCACTCGCCGAAATGTGCGAAGACCTCTATAGCAATGAAGCAATGAAAGGAGAAGTTGCCCAACCTGGGCCATGATGGGACGACGAATCTAGTGATGTCACGGCCCTGAACTTTGAAACCTCATTCCGCTCTTCGTCACTAGCCAAAGAAGGACATCAAACTCCTTTCATCCTCAACTTCGTGCTGACCAACGGTCTGCAGGGGCCCGTGCTGCATCGGAGGTTGCACATTCGTGTAAAGGCGTCAATGCACCTGCGCGCAAGGAATCATGGGTTGGAGTTGCCTGGCCGTCCTCCAGGAGAATGACTGCTGTTGGTGTGTCTTGTAGTGCTTGGCATCCCGAATGCTCTTTTGGAGAAGTAAGTGTTCCAGGCATTTTGGCGACAGGAACCTTGCGCAAACGTGCCCTGATCCTTGAGCCACTGTCCAACATCACGGGGCAGGCCAATGCGCGTGTCACCTTTCGTGCACAACATCACGGGCCATTGTGCACGATAAGCGCGGATCCAACAACACAGAACCCTAAACCCCCAGCCCTGAACCCTAAACCTTAAATCCTAAACCTCAAGGGGCAGACCACAGCTCCCGACACGCCACTGAGAATGGCACCTGGCACGCCTTTCACCTCAGCGCAGCACCGCACTTTCAATATCAAATATGGGTTTAGGGTTTAGGGTTTACTGTAAGACTCACTATGTCGCTGCCCTATCAGCGGCGACATGTTGCTCGTTGTTGCACCACATCTGTCAGGAACTCAATGTTGGGGGAGGAAGTCCGACACCTGCTTTCAAATCCAAGCAAAATCCAAGAAGCCCAAAAACTAGATCTCGAACTCTTGAAGAGGAACCACCCAACATCATGCAGGCTGAGCAGGGGACGCGCACGCCCTATGCCAAAGGCTGCTTTAGGGATCTTAGAGCTTCTTTGACGTTTCTCAGGAGGGTCGGAGAAATTCACTCGCTAGGTTGTGGCGTGCCCGCCGACTTTTGGGCTGCAACGATTCGAGCCTGCCTGTGTGACCCTGCGCGCCGCTCCAAGAGGTCCATTCTTAATCAGGGTTTAGGGATTAGGGTTTAGGGTTTAGGGTTTAGTTACGCAAGGATGCGATGCCTTAGGCAGACGCGCAGGCGGCAACGTTGGCCTTTGCGTCCAGGAGCAGCTTCAGGACCTGCCCGTAGGGTTTAGGGTTTGGGGTTTGGGGTTTAGGGTTTTGGGTTTAGGGTTTGGGGTTTAGGGTTTAGGGTTTAGGGTTTGGGGTTTAGGGTTTAAGGGCCTGCACACTGACACCATGAATCTGATGCAAATCCTTTCCTTGAGGACCAAATGAACCCTAAAAGGGTTTATGGTTCCTATACCCCAATAATAAGGATTTTAGTATAGGGTATATGATCCCAACTTTAGGGTTCATTTGGCTCCCAAGGCTAGTGGTGGCGCGGAAGCAGATGTCAACACGTCAACGCCAGACTCGGCTCAAGATCTTTGCGCTGCACTGCGAAAGTCATGTTAGGAGACTCCTTTCTCCTTCTACCATCATGTACTATAATATTAAATGTATCATTTTGATAATTATTAATATATATAGGTGAACCCTAAAGCCGAAACCATCATAAACCAACTTGCGATGTACATGTACCTGGGATTCGTGCAGCGTGCGTTTGCCGCTGGTTTGCCATGCCCTGCACCATGGCCCATGAACAAGCATGTCGTGGCCTCAATGCTGTCATGGTAGGCCGCCAGGTGTAGAGCCTGAGAAGGATGCTTGGGTGCCCTAAACCCTAAATCCTAAACCCTAACCCATCTCGTCTTGACAGCCAAAACGGGGCCCTGACCGTCCGAAGACCAGATGTCTTGCCGATGCCTCAGTGTGCATTGCTGGCCCAGCTTACTTCACGAGCCTATGTTTGGCGTAGGCAATGGATAGGTAAACCAGGACAATGGATAAGCAATAACTAGATGCGCCTGACAGTCAGGATGCAGAATCGCTGTGTTTAGGATCTTGCTTGCACAGCTAGTGTCAATTACATACCTTGCTCCTAACATTTTAAAGTTCCACAGAGGCCCAACGGCTATTATTTATCAGCACCTCCGGCTGAAAGTGGGAACTGCACAGGGGTCCTGTATACTCTTGAGCCCTTCAACTCCTACAGCCCCAAAGCGCTGGGAACGCCGCCCGTCATGCTGGCATCAGCCTGTGCAAGAACATGCTTCGAGCAACGCGGGCTTTCCCTCCAAATGCTGGCGGCCGGAATCTGCCAACTGCCACTTCGGACCCGTAAATTGCGGCTAGTGACACTAAACCCTAAACCCCTAAAACTTCAACAACACCTAAACCCTAAACCCTGAACCCTAAACCCTAAACCCCTTGATTCCTGCTCACATGTTGGGCATTGAAACCTGAAACCGCTGCCTGGAGATCCGGGTCCATTGCCACGTCAGCCTGCTAGGCACTGCATTCCAAAGGTGACAGCTGCTGGCAGAAGAGCCCTCGCAGTCCGAAACCCGAAACCCTAAACCCTGCTAACTGCTAACTGCTAAACCCTAAACCCTAAACCCTAAACCCTAAACCCTAAACCCTAAGCCCTAAACCCTAAACCCTAAACCCTACCAAGAGTCTTAGGAGCTTTTGGAATCCTTGGGAGTCCGGCCTCCGGCGCATCGCAGAGGGCCTCCAGGCTGGCAGAGAACTCCAGGAGCACCTGCTGCCCCAACAGCCCAGTCCTACCATCTTGCCAACAAGCTTTAGAAGAGACCAACCTTTAGGGTTTAGGGTATAGGGTATAGGGTATAGGGTATAGGGTATAGGGTTTAGGGTTTAGGGTTTAGGGTTAGCTCACGCCAGTCCACCCTTTCCAGAAGTTACGAGTGGAGTAATTCGACGAGCGAAGCAGGCTGTGAGGCTTGTGGCGGGCATGGAGCGTGGCTGAAGCCTGCCTTGGCGACACCAGCGCTGTCGCGAATGGCACAGACATGCAGAGGTGTACGGCCTAAGCAGGACAAGCAGCGAAACAATGCCGGACACGTGGTTTTTTTTGTGCATGGTGCTTCAGCCCTAAAAATGCCGAGGCTGTAAAACCATTAGGATCCCAAACGCACGGAGCTTTGAGGATCTTTCTATGAGGTTCTGGATCGAGTTCCGCTCAGTACGCGCTGCCACACTTTGATTTTTTTATCGCACTGCTGGCAGTGTCGACGGGCAGGGTCGGGTTTCTCAAACTCAGCGGCCAGGTGCCCGCGTGCAACTAGGAGCGATGCTTTGGGTGCCGCATGCTGCCTACTTTACGTGTGCTCTTGCAGAGAAACCCACTTGCGGTGCCGAGCTGGGTGGGCTTGCAAACCCAAGCTCCTCTGACGCCCCGCTGTCACATCTCTGTGAAGCAGGGGAGGAGCCACTTAGATCATTCCCTCAGGATCCGAGCTTCTCTGGAGCTGCGACTACATCGCTCAGCATATCTGCCACCATGGCACCTGTTAGCCCCGCTATTTTGTGCACATAGCATAAGGGGTCCTGAGACTGCCCTGCAAGCCAGATACCCACTACCATTCAGCTCCTTCTGACCCCCCACCTCCAAGCCCCAGATGTCTTGAACACACAATGCCAAGCAAAATACGTCCAAACGTCTATACTCCTCCATCTCTCCTAGACACGCTCGCTGATGTTAATTTGAGGTGGAGGAGAACCGCATGCGTCACCATCCAGACCGGCCACAAAACCCCCAAATCGGCCCTAATCCAAGAGAGAGAAGCTCGGCAAACCTGGCACCAGATTCACTTGCACTGCGCTGCAGCAAGTCGCTTTTTTATTTTTTTTCTGGGGGAGGGGGGGGGGGGGGCTTTGGCGGCAGTGTTGTTGGGGGTGGGGGGCAGGGGAGGCGGGGGGGGGGGAGGGGGAAGGGGTGAGGGTCTGAAGGGAACTGCAGGGCACACGGTCTGGGGATTCAGACGCTCAGAATGAAGGTGCTATTTTCTGGCAAAGCCATGTTGAAAGAACGCGAACTTCCGGGTCGTGTAACTCCGCAACACAACACACTAACTTCGGGTGTCTCGGCTGTCCAAAACTACATCTGTAAAGAGCTTCACTTTTGGGCATGTTCTGCCATTGTGAAGAAAATCTTTCTGTGTCAGGCTTACCCCTGCTTGCTTTCAGCTTCCTAGCTCTTCTTGACTGCACTGCAGGCCAGTGCTCGGCATTCCGAGCCGAGTAAACATCAGATGGAACCTAAGAGGGGCCGAGGATCCTGGGTAAAGTCAAAGCCACAAGAATGAAACTCATCAGATGCGTCATTGTCGTGGTTCTCGGATGAGGGAGAGCAATCATCCAAAGCCCGTGTGTTCAAACCCATTGGAGGGCCAGGTCAGGGGTTGTGCTGAAGGGTATGAGGATCTTGCAGCGTCAGGCCTGATGTCGGGTTCGCCGTTTTTGGCTTTGCTGACAAGTTGCCCAGGGCCCTCTCTAGTGCCCTCAACCCGAATTACACAACCTAGGACCTTCAGCCTACAGCTATGACCTAACAAATGACACTGATGACCTAAAAAGTTTCTATTTAAAAAATGAAGCTAATTCGGCTCACCGGCAGCTAAAAATCCAGCATCGACCGTGTCTTGCAGAAAGAGCCGCAACAACTCCTCAGCTGTCCGTGCCGTGCAAAAAGCACGGCAACTGGGGGGCTGAATATCCTACCCCCCAAAAAGGTTAACATCTTGTTTGCAATCGGATTCTATAGAACCAAAAGCGTTAAAGGTCAACTACCCAGCCCCTAAGGCAAGGTTTGAGCAGCTCCTCCCGATTTCTGACGCCTCGAGTCCACACTGAGAAATCGCGAAAGCACAACGGCTGTTGGGTTCTCCCAGTTGAAACCTCCGCTTCTGGCTCCTCTTTGCTTAAGAACCCCAGAGAATAATAGATAACAATCCCTGTATGGCCCTTGTAGGTTAAGGAAGAGTGTATTTTGTTATGTTTTTGAGGGCTCTTAAGCCAACAGTCGTTGGTTGGATCTGGGGCTGAGGAGATGTTTTGGGGAACTTAGAGCTCACCAAGCCGGAGAGGTGAGCAGGGCCTGACCTTGATACCACCCTAAACCCTAAACCCTAAGCCCTAAGCCCTAAACCCTAGACCCTAGACCCTAAGCCCTAAACCCTGGTGTCCAACCCATCGGCACCGAAAAGCCTTGAACCCCAGGTTTTCTGCAAAGGCGCTTCGTCCGATGGAAGAGGCCGATGCCTGAGGCCGGTGACGTAAAGCCGAAAGGTTGAGTCCTAAACTAAACCCTAAGTCAACCCTAAACCCTAAACCCTAAACCCTAAACCCTAAACCCTAAACCCCAAACCCCAAACCCCAAGCCAACTACAGCCAACTCCACCGGGTCAACCTGCTGAAAAGGAGCACTCGCGAGCAAGGATTCATCAGAAGATCGAACCTTGGGGCGATCTCTGGCTTGTTGAACTCTTTTTGGGGTTTAGGGTTTAGGGTTTAGGGTTTAGGGTTTAGGGTTTAGGGTTTAGGGTTTAGGGTTTAGGGTTTGGCTTTTGAAGGCTTCGTGGCTCAGCTTAATGTAAGGGCCTTAATGATTAGAAATAGGTTTTTGGGGGTTAGTGTAGTAGAAGTATACAGGGAGTATGGGGGGTCTGCGATGTTAGGGGTACCTTACTGTGGTCCTCATTTATGAGGGGGATCCTGCTACTTGCGGGTCTAGATTTGGGGTCCCTTACTGTCGTAAACCCCAAAAATTCCTTGAGGACCAAATGAACCCTAAAAAGGTTTATGGTTCATATACCCTGATAGGGATCATAGGAATGATAGTAGTATAGGGTATATGGTCCCAATTTTCGGGTTCATTTGGTTTCCAAGGTTAGGGTTGCAGGGTGAAGTTCGCGAAGAACAGTCTGAAGACCTGCAACTGCCGCTACCCACTTGGCCGATGGAATCTCTGCATGAAGCTCGCCCCCGCCTTATCTGGACCTTGAAGCCAGGGTTTAGGGTTTAGGGTTCAGGGTTTTGGTTTAGGGTTTAGGGTTTAGGGTTTAGGGTTTAGGGTTTAGGGTTTAGGGTTTAGGGTTTAGGGTTTAGGGTTTAGGGTTTAGGGTTTAAGGTTTAGGGTTTAAGGTTTAGGGTGTAGGGTTTAGGGTTTAGGCTTTAGGGCCCGCATGCTGTACTGGGATGGGGGACTAGCGATCTGGCTATCCCTGTGCAATCCACTGGATGGCAGCGAAGCTCAAAGCGATCTTCGGCTGTCGGCTGTGTAGACACAGGGTTTAGGGTTTAGGGTTTAGGGTTTAGGGTGCTTTACTTTACTGCTCAGGAGCTCAAGTAGGTTCCTAAACGAAACAGAGGCGCGAACCAGATGCTCTAGAGCTGCTCTACCCCTCAAGGCAGCCCAAATGAGGGACAGCAAAGGGGTGGTAGCGCCAACAGGCCAGGCAGCACAGACTCGTGAAATGCATGCACGAAGCGCCTGGAGCGATGAAAGGTTTGGAGAGAGATGAGCTCCAGGTGAGCTGCAGGTCGAGGAGTTTGGGAGCTGGGAACCGGGCCGATCGGGGGTGATTCTTCAAATGCTGTTTATTTGTGTTGAGGCTCTCAGGCAGCATCTGGCACCTGGTGCTCAGTTTTTGGTTCTGCAGCAACCCGCAAACAATGGTCCAAAGCCCACAAGCAAAGGCTCTTATCCTGCATACTTTGGGAAGGTGTAGGCAGGGGCCAAGCTCCTGCAGTTTATGTCGAGTTTGAGGATCGGCCTCAATCTGGCAACGCTTACGGGAGCCAGCTGGCTTTCGGGGTTTCGGGATGAACTTTGAAGGGCTAAGGGACAGTGACCTTCGCATAAGATGCTTGGCATCATGCCCTGTTTAGGGTTTAGGGTTTAGGGTTCCCGGTTGTTTACGCGGCCCAAACTGTATACATGCACAGAGACTGGGACGAGGCCCAGAACCCCATCCTCTACTTTCGCACAAATCCAAAATGTGCTTTAGGGTTTAGGGTTTAGGGTTTAGGGTTTAGGGTTTAGGGTGCATCGCGACCGCCCCTGCTGTACTTAAGCCCTACACCAGGGGAAAAAGCTGCTGGAAGGATCAGGACAAAGTGCCCCTAGCTTCGAGCAGTTTAGCGTGTAGGGTTTAGGATTGTGGCTTGTGTACGGTTTAGGAATTCGTGCCCCACTCTGACTTCAGGAGCGCGTAGCCAGTTTTGTGTCCTGTCTAACTACCTCAATCTTGTCTTTACCCAACCACCACGTGCACGCAAGTCAAGGCCCAAAAACCAACACAAATCCCGTTATGATGCACACTAATACTGTTCCACCCATCCCTTGGCCCTTGCCCAACCTCTACAGCCCCCTCCCGAGCTTGTACAATCCAATTTCCCGCAGCGCCCTCGGTCCCACGTGGGGGCTTCCGGACAATCGAGGTTCCTCTTTGAAGGGTCTGTGGGAC